CCCTAACCCTAACCCTAAACCTACCTAACCCAACCCTAACCCCTAACCTACCTAACCGAACCCTAACCCTAACCCAACCCGGCCAGGTGCAACTAGCGACTTGTCGCTATATTTATCGAGTTTTCAGAACCCCATAATGTTGGAAATCCACCTAGCCCCCCTCCAAAAGCACATCGATGGACATCTACGGCCTCCCAGGAGTAAAAACAAAAACAAACCCCAGCTCCCCACGACATACCTTCTCCACATACAGAATTGGACAGGGGTGTCCGATGGATTTTTTATCCCGGTACCTAACCCGAACCCTAACCCTAACCAACCTAACCCAAAACCAACCAAACCCTAACCCCAAACCCTAACCCTAACCCCTAACCCTAACCCTAACCCTAACCCTACTCTAACCTAACTCTAACCCTAACTCTAACCCAACCCTACCCAACCCTTAACCCTAACCCTAACCCTAACCCCTAACCCTAACCCTAACCCTAACCCAACCCTAACCCTAACCCTAACCCTAAACCCTAAACCCTAACCCTAACCCTAACCCTAACCCTAACCCTAACCTAACCCTAACCCTAACCCTAACCCTAACCCTAACCTTAACCCTAACCCTAACCTAACCTAACCTAACCCTAACCCTAACCCTAACCCCTAACCCTAACCCTAACCTAACCTAACCCTAACCCAACCCTAACCCTAACCCTAACCCTAACCTTAACCCTAACCCTACCCTAACCCTAACCCCTAACCCCTAACCCTAACCCTAACCCTAACCCAACCCTAACCCTAACCCAACCCTAACCCAACCCTAACCCTAACCCTCATAGCACCCCATAGATACTTACAGACACTTTTGGAAAGTCATAGCAACCCATATAAACTCATAGCAACTCATAGCAACCCTTACAAACGTATAGAAACTCTTAGCAACCCATAGATACTCATAGAAACTAATTGCAACCCATAGCAACCCATATTAACATGCAGAAACTCATAGAAACTTATACAAACCCATTGAAACTCACAGCAACTCATAGCAATCCTTAGAAACACATAGCAGCTCATAGCAACTCATAGCAACCCATAGAAATTCATAACAACCCATAGAAACTCATAGAAATTCATAGCAACCCATAGAAACGCATAGAAACTCATTGAAACACATAGCAACACACCCATAGAAAATTGCAGAAACTCATAGAAATGTATAGAATCCCATAGAAACTCACAGTAACTCATGGACACTTATAAAAGATCATAGCAACCAGTAGAAATGCATAGCAACACATAGTAACCCATAGAAACTCATAGAAACGTGTTGCAACCCATAGAAACTCATAGCAACACACCCATAGAAACTCATAAAAAGTAATAGCAACAAATTGAAACTAATAAAAACCTATGGAAACTCAAAGAAACTCATTGCAACCCATATACACTCAAAGTAATTTGTAGCAACCAATATAAACTCGTAGAAACTCATAGCAACCCATCTAAATTCAAGAAACTCATAGCAACCCATAGAAATTCATTGTAACTCATAGCAACACACCCATAGAATCTCACAAAACCTCATAGCAACCCATAGAAACTCATCGCAACCCATAGAAACTCATAGCAACCCATAGAAACTCATAGAAACTCATATCAACCCATAGAAACTCATAGAAACTCATATCAACCCATAGAAATTCATTGTAACTCATAGCAACACACCCATAGAAACTCACAAAACCTCATAGCAACCCATAGAAACTCATAGAAACTCATAGCAAAGCATAGGAAGTCATAGAAATCATTACAACACATTAAAACTTATAGAAACTCATAACAACCCATAACAACTCATAGAGACTCATAGCAATCCATAGACACTTACATAAACTCGTGGAAACTCATAGCAACCCTAAGAAACTCATAGAAACTCATAGCAACCCATACAAACTCATAGAAACTCATAGCGATCAATAGACACTTACAGAAACTCGTGGAAACTCATAGTAACCCAAAGAAACTCATAGAAACTCATAGAAACTCATTGCAACCCGTAGAAACTCATAGAAACTAACAGAAACGCATAGCAACTTATATAAACCAATAGAAACTCACAGTAACTCATAGAAAATGATAACACTAATTTCAACTCATAGCAATTAATAGCAACTCATAGCAACTCATAGAATCTCCATCATCTTTGAAATGCTAGAGAAAGGCAACAATATAATATTGCAGTTTAGGCGCAATTTTGGCCACTAGATGGCAGCAGTGTGGGTGCAAAGTTTCAGATTGACCTGAACTATGCCGATGCTGCTACAAACAGTGTGAGCAAAGACACTACTTTCGTGCACACCGCTGTGAGAGGATTTTAAGGAGGACACAGATTTCTGTTTTTCAAATTTTGCAATTTGTATGAGCTCTCGTTGTTCACTTAGTTGAGAATTCAATGTGAAAATAGAGACACGGAAGCCCAGCTAGGCTAGCTGGCCGGCAGTCTTAAATGGAGGTCGCTATTGAACGTTTTCAACGCTGCTGGAGCTGTGTTTAATTTGCTTTGTTCTGGTATAATGTGGACAGCCCGGACTTTCCATGTAGCAATTGTTTGCTTGCAGAGGACTACAGGGGAGAAGTGGCTACTCTTAGCAAACAAGTAGCGAACCTACAGAAGCTACTGGGGAATCCACGCCCGCCTACTTTTCCATTCTCTTCTACCCCAGTAGCCGGACGCAGCTCTGGTCTGGTGGAAGTGTCGCCGATGTGTCAGCTCTCCTCAGTCGACTGGCCGGTACTCCGCAGGGATCCCTCCCCGAAGCGGTTTCCCCCTTCCCTGGTGAATGGAGCTAGTAGGATGCTCCTGGATGACTTGGGGGATGTTCCTGGATGACCTGGGGGATGCTCCTGGATGACCTGGGGGATGCTCCTGGATGACCTGGGGGATGCTCCTGGATGACCTGGGGGATGCTCCTGGATGACCTGGGGGATGTTCCTGGATGACCTGGGGGATGTTCCTGGATGACCTGCGGGATGCTCCTGGATGACCTGGGGGATGCTCCTGGATGACCTGGGGGATGCTCCTGGATGACCTGGGGGATGCTCCTGGATGACCTGGGGGATGTTCCTGGATGACCTGGGGGATGTTCCTGGATGACCTGGGGGATGCTCCTGGATGACCTGGGGGATGCTCCTGGATGACCTGGGGGATGTTCCTGGATGACCTGGGGGATGCTCCTGGATGACCTGGGGAATGTTCCTGGATGACCTGGGGGATGTTCCTGGATGACCTGGGGGATGTTCCTGGATGACCTGGGGGATGTTCCTGGATGACCTGGGGGATGCTCCTGGATGACCTGGGGGATGCTCCTGGATGACCTGGGGGATGCTCCTGGATGACCTGGGGGATGTTCCTGGATGACCTGGGGGATGCTCCTGGATGACCTGGGGGATGCTCCTGGATGACCTGGGGGATGTTCCTGGTTGACCTGGGGGATGTTCCTGGATGACCTGGGGGATGTTCCTGGATGACCTGGGGGATGCTCCTGGATGACCTGGGGGATGTTCCTGGTTGACCTGCGGGATGCTCCTGGATGACCTGGGGGATGCTCCTGGATGACCTGGGGGATGCTCCTGGATGACCTGGGGGATGCTCCTGTTCTCCAACCAACCAACCAGCCATGGAGTTATGTCACTCGCAGTGGAAGTCGAAGAAAGCGTCCTCTGGCAACGGGGCTTCGCCGCCCTGGATCAAGAGGTACCGGCGCCTTCGTCCTCTGTTCTGTCTCCCTCTCCGGTGGCTTCTACCTCGGGTTCAGATCCTCAGAGCTCCCATCCTCATCAGACCGTGAGGCTGCCTGAGACGCCGGCCCATTCATCATCTATGATGGATACTACAGCCGGCTCGGGTCCATCGGGCTCCATTGCCCTTCGGTCCTCGAGGGGTTTGCGAAACCACTCGAGGCGAAAGAACGGACGGACCTCCTCAGCCATTGCACCAGCTGTCGTCATCGGCAGCTCTATTGTAAGAAACATCTTGTTCCCGGGGCAAAAACCCTGTGCTACCCAGGAGAATGAATACAGGACATTACAAGGCTGCTTATTTGCTCTTTTTTTTTGTTATCTTAAACTGCATTGTTGGTTAAGGGCTTGTAAGTATGCGTTTCTCTGTAATGTCTACACCTGCGCATGTGGCAAATAAAATGTGATTTGATTTGATTTGTATGCAGTAATAATGTGCCTATGAACCAGAGTGATACTGTTAGCACTGAGCCGGTGTGCCCTAGTAGGAAGTCCACTATCAGCTCCAATATAAATAGCATGTCTACTTCTGATTAGCTTCCCAGTAAAGCATTTTAAAAAATCAAGCAACCCAGAAAAGTGCTATGAATAGCCCCTATTAACATATGTAGCCTAAGAAACAAGGTTCATGAAATCAATAATTTGCTAGTAACAGATGACATTCATATTCTGACTATCTCCGAAACTCACTTAGATAATACATTTGATGATACAGTGGTAGCAATCCATGGTTATGACATCTACCGAAAAGACAGAAATGCCAATGGGGGCAGTGTTGCGGTCTATATTCAGAACCACATTCCTGTAAAGCCTAGAGAGGATCTCATGTTAAATACTGTTTAAGTAATATGCCTACAGGTTCAGATGCCTCACCTAAAGCCCATTCTTGTGGGAAGCTGCTATAGACCACCAAGTGCTAACAGTCAGTATCTGGATAACATGTGTGAAATGCTTGATAATGTATGTGATATCAACAGAGAGGTATATTTTCTGGGTGATTTAAATATTGACTGGCTTTCATCAAGCTGCCCACTCAAGAAAAAGCTTCAAACTGTAACCAGTGTCTGCAACCTGGTTCAGGTTATCAGTCAACCTACCAGGGTAGTTAAAAACAGCACAGGAATGAAATCATCAAAATGTATTGATCACATCTTTACTAATGCTGCAGAAATCTGCTTTAAAGCAGCATCCAAATCCATAGATCCATAGGATGTAGTGATCACAATATAGTAGCCATATCTAGGAAAACCAAAGTTCCAAAGGCTGGGCATAATATAGTGTATAAGAGGTCATACAATAAATTCTGTAGTGATTCTTATGTTGATGATGTAAATAATATTTGTTGGTCCGTGGTGTGTAATGAGTAGCAACCAGACCCTGCACTTGACACATTTATGCAATTGCTTATTCCAGTTACTAATAAGCATGCACCCATTAAGAAAACGACTGTAAAAACAGTGAAATACCCTTGGATTGATGGGGAATTGAAAAATGTTATGGTTGAGAGGGATGAGGCAAAAGGTATGGCAAATAAGTCTGGCTGCACAACCGATTGGTGCACATCCAATCATGTGACTAAACTAAATAAAAAGAAGAATAAAATATACTATGAAACAAAAATACATGATATAAAGAATAATACTAAAAAGCTTTGGAGCACCTTCAATGACATTTTGGGCAAAAAGTCAAACGGCTCATACATCATATTGGCATCATATTGATATTGGCAACTACTTTAATGTTTTTTCATTGGCAAGATTAACAAATTTAGGCATGACATTCCAGCAACTGTTAGAAATTGCGTAATTCAAATCTGGTATTGGAATAAGAATCAAGAGATCTTCAATCCAAGCTTAATTTATTATATGCAAAATGTATGTATGATAAGTATGAAGGTTCGTATATACGGGTCCACTGAAATACCACGCAGGGCACTCAGAGAACTAAACTATTGTTTACAGGTTCTTTCTCAAATACTCTGACAGAGAGTTCCCACCTCTTCTGTTGGCCAATCAGAGTAAAGGACTGAGTGTGGTTTAGACTTTACTCAGCCAATCCATTGGCGCACGGGTTAGTCCCAATCCCTTGGTGCTCCACCCCTTGGCACTCCACCGTTCCCAGGCATAAGTTGCTATCATAATAACCTGTCGAGTCAGCACCCAATCTGTACTCTATGTACCTACGTTCAAGTACGGTTTCACAGACAACAAAGAGAGAGTGTTCGTATCTGTAAGAAATACAAGTCTTATCTGTCCTACCCCTAACGTTCCTTACATGAATCACAGCCTGTTATGTGAAAAAATTTATATCAGTATAGTACAAACCTATGCTTATCATTAATGCATTCCTTCTAAGTTATTCATCACATACAGATCCAATTATGAGAAAAATAGAACCCAACACAACAAATGCTGACACTACACATCCAAGTACAGTGGGGAAAAAAATTATTTAGTCAGCCACCAATTGTGCAAGTTCTCCCACTTAAAAAGATGAGAGAGGCCTGTAATTTTCATCATAGGTACACGTCAACTATGACAGACAAAATGAGAAAAAAAAATCCAGAAAATCACATTGTAGGATTTTTAATGAATTTATTTGCAAATGATGGTGGAAAATAAGTATTTGGTCACCTACAAACAAGCAAGATTTCTGGCTCTCACAGACTTGTAACTTCTTCTTTAAGAGGCTCCTCTGTCCTCCACGTGTTACCTGTATTAATGGCACCTGTTTGAACTTGTTATCAGTATAAAAGACACCTGTCCACAACCTCAAACAGTCACACTCCAAACTCCACTATGGCCAAGACCAAAGAGCTGTCAAAGGACACCAGAAACACAATTGTAGACCTGCACCAGGCTGGGAAGACTGAATCTGCAATAGGTAAGCAGCTTGGTTTGAAAAAATCAACTGTGGGTGCAATTATTTGGAAATGGAAGACATACAAGACCACTGATAATCTCCCTCGATCTGGGGCTCCACGCAAGATCTCACCCGTGGGGTCAAAATGATCACAAGAACGGTGAGCAAAAATCCCAGAACCACACGTGGTGACCTAGTGAATGACCTGCAGAGAGCTGGGACCAAAGTAACAAAGCCTACCATCAGTAACACACTACGCCGCCAGGGACTCAAATCCTGCAGTGCAAGACGTGCCCCCCTGCTTAAGCCAGTACATGTCCAGGCCCGTCTGAAGTTTGCTAGAGTGCATTTGGATGATCCAGAAGAGGATTGGGAGAATGTCATATGGTCAGATGAAACCAAAATATAACTTTTTGGTAAAAACTAAACTCGTCGTGTTTGGAGGACAAAGAATGCTGAGTTGCATCCAAAGAACACCATACCTACTGTGAAGCATGGGGGTGGAAACATCATGCTTTGGGGTTGTTTTTCTGCAAAGGGACCAGGACGACTGATCCGTGTAAAGGAAAGATTGAATGGGGCCATGTATTGTGAGATTTTGAGTGAAAACCTCCTTCCATCAGCAAGGGCATTGAAGATGAAACGTGGCTGGGTCTTTCAGCATGACAATGATCCCAAACACACCACCCGGGAAACGAAGGAGTGGCTTCGTAAGAAGCATTTCAAGGTCCTGGAGTGGCCTAGCCAGTCTCCAGATCTCAACCCCATAGAAAATCTTTGGAGGGAGTTGAAAGTCTGTGTTGCCCAGCGACAGCCCCAAAACATCACTGCTCTAGAGGAGATCTACATGGAGGAATGGGCCAAAATACCAGCAATAGTGTGTGAAAACCTTGTGAAGACTTACAGAAAACGTTTGACCTGTGTCATTGCCAACAAAGGGTATATAACAAAGTATTGAGAGACTTTTGTTATTGACCAAATACTTATTTTCCACCATAATTTGCAAATAAATTCATAAAAAATCCTACAATGTGATTTTCTTGATTTTTTTTCCTCATTTTGTCTGTCATAGTTGACGTGTACCTATGATGAAAATTACAGGCCTCTCTCATCTTTTTAAGTGGGAGAACTTGCACAATTGGTGGCTGACTAAATACTTTTTTCCCCCACTGTATATCTGACCAAATTATGAAAGACAAGCATTGTACTTTGGATGAAGTGAAAAAAGTATTGTTGTCTATCAACAACGACAAGCCACCGGGGTCTGACAACTTGGGTGGAAAATTACTGAGGATAATAGTGGACGATATTGCCACTCCTATTTGCCATATCTTCAATTTAAGCCTACTAGAAAGTGTGTGCCCTCAGGCCTGGAGGGAAGCAAAAGTAATTATGTTACCCAAGAATAGTAAAGCCCCCTTTAATGGCGCAAATAGCCGACCAATCAGCCTGTTCCCAACCCTTAGTAAACTTTTGGAAAAAAGGGTGTTTGACCAGATACAATGCTTTTTTACAGTGAACAAATTGACAACTGACTTTCAGCACGCTTATAGGGAAGGACATTCAACAAGCACAGCACTTACACAAATAACTGATGATTGGCTGAGTGAAATTGATGATAAAAAGATTGTGGGAGCTGTTTTGTTAGACTTCAGTTCGGCTTTTGACATTATCGATCATAGTCTGCTGCTGGAAAAACGTATGTGTTATGGCTTTACACACCCTGCTACATTGTGTATAAAGAGTTACCTGTCTAACAGAACACAGAGGGTGTTCTTTAATGGAAGCCTCTCCAACATAATCCAGATAGAATCAGGAATTCCCCAGGGCAGCTGTCTAGGCCCCTTACTGTTTTCAATCTTTACTAACGACATGCCACTGGCTTTGAGTAAAGCCAGTGTGTCTATGTATGCGGATGACTCAACACTATACACGTCAGCTACTACAGTGACTGAAATGACTGCAACACTTAACAAAGAGCTGCAGTTAGTTTCAGAATGGGTGGAAAGGAATAAGTTAGTCCTAAATAATTCAAAAACTAAAAGCATTGTATTTGGGGCAAATCATTCACTAAACCCTAAACCTCAACTAAATCTTGTGGGAATTGAGCAAGTTGAGGTGACTAAACTACTTGGAGTAACCCTGGATTGTAAACTGTCATTGTCAAAGCATATTGATACATTTACATTTTAGTCATTTAGCAGATGCTCTTATCCAGAGCAACTTACAGTTAGTGAGTGCATACATTTTTCATACTGGCCCCCCGTGGGAAACAAACTCACAACCCTGGCGTTGCAAGCGCCATGCTCTACCAACTGAGCTACACGGGGCCCTGATACAACAGTAGCTAAGATGGGGAGAAGTCTGTCCATAATAAAGCGCTGCTCTGCCTTCTTAACAATATCAACAATTGACGCACCTGGACTACTGTTCAGTCGTGTAGTCAGGTGCCACAAAGAGGGACTTTACAATTGGCTCAGAGCAGGGCAGCACGGCTGGCCCTTAAAAGTCCATGGGGAGCTAACATTAATGATATGCATGTCAATCTCTCATGGCTCAAAGTGGAAGAGAGATTGACTTCATCACTACTTGTTTTAAAAAAAGTTTAGACAAGCTGAATGTACCGAGCTGTCTGTTTAAACTACTGGCATACAGCTCGGACACCCATGCATACCCCACAAGTGTCACGCCCTGGCTCTGGGGACTCTTCAATGTTGAACCAGGGTGTGGACTTGTTATGTTTAGTTTTCTATGGGTTTTGTTCTAGATCGTTTATTTCTATGTTGGCCAGGGTGGTTCCCTATCAGAGACAGCTGTAGCTCGTTGTCTCTGATTGGGGACCATACTTAGGCAGCCTGTGTTCACTAGTTGATTGTGGGATCTTGTTCCGTTTGGTGTGTTATGACCTAGGACTTCACGTATCGTTTTGTTGTTTTGGTTCGTGTGTACACTTCAATAAAGTATGTACGCCTATCACGCTGCGCCTTGGTCCGCTTCTCATAACGATCATGACAACAAGACATGCCACCAGAGGTCTCTTCACAATCCACAAGTCCAGAACAAACTATGGGAGGCGCACAGTACTACATAGAGCCATGACTACATGGAACTCTATTCCACATCAGGTAACTGATGCAAGCAGTAAAATTAGATTTTAAAAAACAGGTAAAAATCCACATTATGGAACAGCGGGGACTGTGAAGAGACACACACAAAGGTACAGATACACGCATTCGCACACAAACGCTAGCACACACACTCTACACACACGTACATTGTGATATTGTTGTATGGTGGTAGTATACATTTTGTATTGTAGATAGGTAGTGGTGTAATAATGTTATATGATGGACTGTTTTATCTTTTGTTTTATATGTAATGTAAGTGCCTTAATGTGTTTGGACCCCAGGAATAGTAGATGCTGCCTTGGCAACAGCTAATGGGGATCCCTAATAAATACAAATACAAACCCATAGATACTTACAGAAACTTGTGGAAACTCATAGCAACCCATAGAAACTTTCAGAAACTCATAGAAATGTATTAAGACTCATAGCAACTCATAGCAACTCATTGAAACTCATAGCAACCCATAGAAACGCATAGCAACCCATAGCAACGCATACCAACCCATAGCAACACATAGAATCTCATAGAAACTCATTGCAACCCATAGAAACTCATAGCAACACACACGTAGAAACTCATAAAAACTCATAGTAACCCATAGAAACTCGTAGCAACCCATGTAAACTCATAGCAACCATCTAAACTCATAAAAATTCATATCAACCCATAGAAACTCAAAGCAACCCATAGAAACTCATAGCAACCCATAGAAACTCATAGCAACTCATTAAAACTCATAGAAACTCAAAGGAACCCATAGAAACTCATAGCAACCCATAAAAACTAATATAAACTCATTGCAACCCATAGAAACTCATAGCAGCACACCCATAGAAACTCATAAAAAGTCATAGCACCCCATAGAAACTCATAAAAAGTCATAGCACCCCATAGAAACTCATAAAAAGTCATAGCACCCCCCTCTCTCTCTCTCTCTCTTTATGTGTGTTTCCCCATGGAAATCTAATTAGCTTAATAAAAACATCCCCATAAAAACATGTCAGTCTAAGCTAGAGATCTCTCTCTCTGTGTGTGTGTGCGTGTCTGCATGTGTGTGTGCAAGCAGGTCTTCTATCAAATCTAATCCAAGTAAATAGTCAAATGACAATCAAACAATGACATCATGCACACGGTTCATATCTGTCTATTGATAGTCAAGTTGAATGCCGTAAGGCTGTTAAATTCCCGTCTGCGTGTTTTACATGACCATAAAGCACTTCTCTAGAGAACACTAAAACACTAGAACACTAACCCCCCGTGGAAATCTAATTAGCATTATGAAAAAATACCCATAAAATTCCATCAGTTTAAGCTAGAGATATCTGCTTGCTAACAGGCTTCATAAGACTATTCTGTGAGATAAAATAAGGGGTTAAATGCATGTACAAAAAATAAAAAATAACCCTAACCCCTAACCCCTAACCCTAACCCCTAACCCCTAACCCTAACCCTAATGTTTCCTGTTCTTTATTATATCTCTCAGATATAAGACAGACACTGTTGTTCCATGTAGTGAATCTGTTGTTCAATGTGTTTGTATGGGCTAATAGCAGTAAGGACTATCTGTTGTTCCATGCAGTGAATCTGTTATTCATTTTACATTACATTTACATTTTAGTCATTTAGCAGACGCTCTTATCCAGAGCGACTTACAGTTAGTGAATACATATTTGTTTTTATACTGGCCCCCCGTGGGAATCAAACCCACAACCCTGGCGTTGCAAATGCCATGCTCTATCAACTGAGCTACATCCCTGCCGGCCATTCCCTCCCCTACCCTGGACGACGCTGGGCCAATTGTGCGCCGCCCATGAGTCAATGTGTTTGTATGGGCTAATAGCAGTAAGGACTATCTGTTGTTCCATGTAGTGAATCTGTTATTCAATGTGTTTGTATGGGCTAATAGCAGTAAGGACTATCTGTTGTTCCATGTAGTGAATCTGTTATTCAATGTGTTTGTACGGGCTAATAGCAGTAAGGACTATCTGTTGTTCCATGTAGTGAATCTGTTATTCAATGTGTTTGTATGGGCTAATAGCAGTAAGGACTATCTGTTGTTCCATGTAGTGAATCTGTTATTCAATGTGTTTGTACGGGCTAATAGCAGTAAGGACTATCTGTTGTTCCATGTAGTGAATCTGTTATTCAATGTGTTTGTATGGGCTAATAGCAGTAAGGTCAAAAATATGTTTTTACAACAAAAAAATTGATACTTCAAGGAGTCTTAAAATTCAAAATCAAATAGCTAAATTATCCTTGGTATGACCTTTTAAAAACAATTCCATATAGCTTAGTAGTACCCAGTCTTAGACAGAGTTTAGACTCTTATGGATTAAATGGACTCTGAATCTCTTCATGTTGCTTTCCCACTGTCTCATCTTTTCAGATGCAAATGGCCTTTGGTGTGTGTATGCGTGCGTGTGTGTATGTGTGTGTGTGTGTATGCGTGCGTGTGTGTATGTGTGTGTGTATGTGTGCGTGTGTGTGTGTGTGTGTGTGTATGTGTGCGTGTGTGTGTGTGTTTGTGTCTGTGTTTGTGTCTGTGTGTTCCTCTGTTAGAAAAAGGAGGAAGAGTGCTGATGAGTTACATAATCACACTGAAGACACACACACACAAACACACACACACACACACACACACACACACACCAGGTTGTAGGTGAGATTGCCATGGGTAAAGTCCAGTACACTTGTCTGTCTTTAGATTAAGGTGTGGTTTTATACAGGCCTGTAGAACAAACAGTGACTCAGTCACTCTGAAAGACTCTGCTGTATTGCAGAGTACTGTTCAGTATTATTAGATACATCAAAGATGTTCAACAGATATATCCTGACTGTACCTGGTATTTGCCCTTTTCAACTCAATGACAACAGTAGTATAGGTAACCCTATCCCTAACAGTAGGACAAGCTGCAAGCTGGGCACAACTGGAGGAGTAGAAAGATGAAGTATATTAGACAGAAACGGAATGCCCTTATATCTGTCTGTTGGGTGTTCCTGTCTATATTCACCTGACCTCATTTATCAAACTACAGCAATTAGAAGTGAATGGCCTTCATAACTATACATGGACAAGATCCAAAACATTACCACCTCCTCCCTCTCTCTCTCTCTCTCTCTCTCTCTCTCTCTCTCTCTCTCTCTCTCTCTCTCTCTCTCTCTCTCTCTCTCTCTCTCTCTCTCTCTCTCTCTCTCTCTCTCTCTCTCTCTCTCTCTCTCCCAGGTAGTTAGTTAGGTCATGTGATCTAGCAGGGTAAAGGTGGACTGTAGTTCTGTCCCACTGACACATTCTGCTCTGACAGCCACTCAGCGAGGTGCCTCAGATTCTTTCCCCGATTAAACTTCCTCCCGGCCTCAACTCGACTGGGACCCCCGTTGCCATGTCCATCAGCCGGAAGAACTGGTCGGCGCTGTCCCGGTAAGAGCTGGGTTAGGGGTTATGCCTGATGTATATGCGTTTTGTTTTGCCGGTTGTCTAGTCCGCATTTTCCGTACTTGACGCACATGTGCTTCACTTTTCAACTAGCTAAAAGCTAGTTAGTTGGTGTCAGTGTGTGTGCACTTCCATTTGTAAAGAAACACACGAATTGAAAATATTGAAGCATGCAGTACACCAAATGTACCGCAATCTAGTGCGCCATCCCCAACATAGCATTACGGACTGCTCCTTTGACAATCAATGATTTCTGCCTGAACGCAAAGACTTTGATGTATCTGCTGGACATGAGGCTTTAGGGTGTGGTGACTTTCTGTCAGGATTGGAACAATAACTGTTAGCCTACGATTCATTTACAGTATAGCTGCGCTGTCTGTTTTCGCTGTGGACATAAATAATGATTTAGATGTTTAGAACAGAATGTTGTTTTGTAATTGTAAAAGGTTAATGGTCTTCCGAGGTTTGTGACTGCTGTCGTTGATCATGACATTGATAAGGAAAGTGAAAACTGGTCCTGTGATATTGCTGTTGCTAACCCCCTAAGGTCGATGTGCGCTCCCCCGCGAAAAAAGTAATTAGCATAATATAAAAAAGCCCCATAAAAATCTGTCCATTTAAACTAGAGATACCTGGATTGGATGTGTCTCAGTCCACTGCATCCACCTATGTCACACTTCCGCATCTGCGATGAAAGGTGGCAGAGCTAGAGCGGTGTGTGTCAGGGTTAGGGTTAGGGTTCCCGAAAAGACATCCCGAAAATTGGTCTTCTCACAAAATCATATGTAGCGTCCGAAAAGGTTTGGCCTACAAATTACTACGACCCCTATAAGCATTTTGGGACTCGTCTGAAGTCGGTACAGCCGATCTGCCAACTTCTGTCTATAGTGTCCGAACAGTTTGGGCTACACACTAATAACTAACCCTAAAGCCTCCATGGAAAGGTGAGACTCTCACGAACACATACATGTCGGTTGTTCTGCTCTAGGACGCCCACGGGCCTCACAAGACTCATCTGAAGGTCCCCGGTACCAGTTGAAAAAATGAATGGAAGTACTGTATAAATGGAGACTGTTTAGTGCACAAAATAAGGGGTTAAAAACATGTACAAAAATAAATACATCTTGATCTCTGTTATATATCTCAGATATAGGACAGACACTTCAGAACAAACTTCCTTTAGATTATTTTTTTGGGGACAATCTGTTGTTCCATGTAGCGAATCTGTTATTCAATGTGTTTGTATGGGCTAATAGCAGTAAAGCATTATGTTTCTCTTTGATACTTCAAGGGGTTTTAAAATAAAAAATAAAATAGCAAAATGATCCTTGGTGTGACCTTAAAACAAATTCATATAGCTTAGTAGAATGTGATTTTGACCATGGAAACACAGCACCCCTCCACACCAACTACCATGATCTCTGTTAACTTCTGACAATAACCCCTGGTTGTAGAGAGTCTTGTAAGGAGTCTGAGTTTGAGTCAAGAGATGCCCCGTCTGAGTTTGATATGATGTTGTCGGGGTTTGAAGAATTCCCTATCTCTTATCAGTCGGTCCTATCCCGTTTCTGTCCCTGTTCTGTCTGTTGTCGCTGTTGCATTAGAACATTGGGTTAGTTAGTCTGGTCAGAGACATTATATTTACTACTGTTTGTATGGGCTAATAGCAGTACAGACTATAGTAGAACATAGGGTTAGTTAGTCTGGTCAGAGACATTAGGGTTAAAGAAAGGCTCATGTGGGAAAATTAAGCAGAGATCGTTGATCAGGTGTGCCTCCGCCGGGTCGATAGGAATTAGATGTACCGTCTTAGATAGCATGTCACACAGAGTACCGTCTTAGATAGCATGTTACACAGAGTACCGTCTTAGATAGCATGTTACACAGAGTACCGTCTTAGATAGCATGTTACACAGAGTACCGTCTTAGATAGCATGTTACACAGAGTACCGTCTTAGATAGCATGTCACACAGAGTACCGTCTTGGATAGCATGTTACACAGAGTACCGTCTTAGATAGCATGTTACACAGAGTACCGTCTTAGATAGCATGTCACACAGAGTACCATCTTAGATAGCATGTCACACAGAGTACCGTCTTAGATAGCATGTCACACAGAGTACCGTCTTAGATAGCATGTCACACAGAGTACCGTCTTAGATAGCATGTCACACAGAGTACCGTCTTAGATAGCATGTCACACAGAGTACCGTCTTAGATAGCATGTCACACAGAGTACCGTCTTGGATAGCATGTTACACAGAGTACCGTCTTAGATAGCATGTCACACAGAGTACCGTCTTAGATAGCATGTCACACCATACTACTAACCCTAACCCTGTCATCAGCTGTTCATACTACTGTACCATACTACTAACCCTAACCCTGTCATCAGCTGTTCATACTACTGTACCATACTACTAACCCTAACCCTGTCATCAGCTGTTCATACTACTGTACCATACTACTAACCCTAACCCTGTCATCAGCTGTTCATACTACTGTACCATACTACTAACCCTAACCCTGTCATCAGCTGTTCATACTACTGTACCATACTACTAACCCTAACCCTGTCATCAGCTGTCCATACTACTGTACCATACTACTAACCCTAACCCTGTCTACTCTATACTACTGGCTCATACAGATGATTTGTGAAGCATGTTGTGGTTATGAAGACTTTATGTCTGCTATATAAAGCCTTTTTGAGATCTAATGAGAACCTCAGCAGTCCCTATAATAGCCTAGGTCACTGCTGAACTGTGTGTGTGTCTGTGTGTAGCCTGGCCCGCCAGTGGACAGTGGAGGATGAAGAGGAAGTGGAAAGGGAGAGGAGGAGGAAGGGGAGGAGCTATAGCAGCACTGACCCTGACAACGACCTTTCACCTGGAAACGACCTTTCTCCTCGACACACTCCCGGAAACCAACCCACCAATGACAACGCTCCAAGCATCACCAGGTCAGTGATCAAACATAATGGCGCCGGAGGAGATGGCTGCTGTTTTACGGGCTCCTAACCAATTGTGCTATTTTGTGTGTTTTTTCGCATTATTTTCTAACTGATTTTGTACATAATGTTTCTGCCACTGTCTCTTATGACTGAAAAGAGCTTCTGGAAATCAGGACAGTGATTACTCACCTCATACTAAACAAATATTATTTCTTTAACGAGTCGGACGTGAAGGATTTACTTCAGACACCCGACAAGGCCCAAATCCCCGTCATTCACATGAAGAAGAGACAGAGATATCGGGGACTTTGGTCGGGGTATCTGTCTCTACCATCAGTCCTATTAGCCAACGTACAATCATTGGATAATAAAATGGATGAGCTCCGATCAAGAATATCCTACCAACTCTACATTAAAAACTGTAATATCTTATGTTTTACCGAGTCGTGGCTGAACGACGACATGCATAACATACAGCTAGTGGGGTTTTCGGTGCATCGGCAAGATAGAACAGCTGCCTCTGGTAAGACAAGGGGTGGTGGTCTGTGTATATTTGTAAATAACAGCTGGTGCACGAAATCTAATATTATGGAAGTCTCAAGGTTTTGCTCGCCTGAGGTAGAGTATCTTATGATAAGCTGTAGACCACACTATTTACCAAGATAGTTTTCATCTATATTTTTCATAGCTGTCTATTTACCACCACAAACTGATGCTGGCACTAAGACCACACTCAACGAGCTGAATAAGGCCATAAGCAAACAGGAGAAAACGGTAATCCAGAGGCGGCTCTCCTAGTGGCCGGGGACTTTACTGCAGGGAAACTTAAATCCGTTTTACCTAATTTCTACCAGCATGTTAAATGTGCAACCAGTGGAAAAAAAACTCTAGCCCACCTTTACTCCACACACAGAGACGCGTACAAAGCTCTCCCTCACCCTCCATTTGGCAAATCTGACCATAATTCTATCCTCTTGATTCCTGCTTACAAGCAAAAACTAAAGCAGGAAGTACCAGTGACTCGGTCAACACAGAAGTGGTCAGATGATGCAGATGCTAAGCTACAGGACTGTTTTGCTAGCACAGACTGGAATATGTTCCGGGATTCTTGCGATGGCATTAAGGTGTACACCACATCAGTCACTGGCTTCATCAATAAGTGCATCGATGACGTCATTCCCACAGTGACCGTACGTAAATACCCCAACCAGAAGTCATGGATTACAGGCAACATCCGCACTGAGCTAAAGGGTAGAGCTGCCGCTTTCAAGGAACGGGACTCTAACCCGGACGCTTATAAGAAATCCCGCTATGCCTTCCGACGAACCATCAAACAGGCAAAGCGTCAATACCGGACTAAGATTGAATCGTACTACACTGGCTCTGACGCTCGTCGGATGTGGCAGGGCTTGAAAACTATTACAGACTACAAAGGGAAGCACAGCCGCGAGCTGCCCAGTGACATGAGCCTACCAGACGAGCTAAATTACTTTTATGCTCGCTTCGAGGCAAGCAACACTGAAGCATGCATGAGAGCACCAGCTGGATTACCAGGACGTGTACTCCGAGCATGCGCTGACCAACTGGCAAGTGTCTTCACTGAGTCTGTAATACCAACATTTTTCAAGCAGACCACCATAGTCCCTGTGCCCAAGAACACTAAGGTAACCTGCCTAAATGACTACCGACCCGTAGCACTCACGTCTGTAGTCATGAAGTGCTTTGAAATGCTGGTCATGGGTCACATCAACACCATTATCCCAGAAACCCTAGACCCACTCCAATTTGCATACCGCCCCAACAGATCCACAGATGATGCAATCTCTATTGAACTCCACACTGCCCTTCCCATCTGGACAACAGGAACACCTACGTGAGAATGCTATTCTTTGACTACAGCTCAGCGTTCAACACCATTGTGCCCTCAAAGCTCATCACTAAGCTAAGAACCCTGGGACTAAACACCTCCCTCTGCAACTGGATCCTGGACTTCCTGACGGGCCGCCCCCAGGTGGTAAGGGTAGGTAACAACACATCCGCCAGGCTGAACCTCAACACGGGGGCCCCTCAGGGGTGCGTGCTCAGTCCCCTCCTGTACTCCCCGTTCACCCACGACTGCATGGCCAGGCATGACTCCAACACCATCATTAAGTTTGCCGACGACACAACAGTGGTAGGCCTGATCAGCGATGAGACAGCCTATAGGGAGGAGGTCAGAGACCTGGCCGTGTGGTGCCAGGATAACAACCTCTCCCTCAACGTGATCAAGACAAAGGAGATGATTGTGGACCACAGGAAAAGGAGGACCGAGCACACCCCCATTCTCATCGACGGGGCTGTAGTGGAGCAGTTTGAGAGCTTCAAGTTTCTTGGCGACCCGGACTATTTGCATTGTCCCCCCAACCCCTCTTTTTACGCTGCTGCTACTCTCTGTTTATTATCTATGCATTGTCACTTTAATAACTCTACCTACATGTACATATTACCTCAATTACCTTGACTAACCTGTGCCCCCGCACATTGATTCGGTACCGGTACCCCCTGTATATAGCCTCCCTACTGTTATTTTACTGCTGCTCTTTAATTATTAATTATTTTTCTATTTTTCTTCTTTTTTTATTTTTACTTATCTATTTTTTACTTAACACTTATTTTTCTTAAAACTGCATTGTTGGTTAAGGGCTTGTAAGTAAGCATTTCACTGTAAGGTCTACACCTGTTGTATTCGGCGCATGTGACAAATACAGTTTGATTTGATTTGAAACACCTGTTATCACACGCTCACACAGACACACACTGACAGACACTTCAAAGTGAGTTTTTCTCTGTAGAGAGAATTTAGAAATTGGAGAACAGCAATTCATTATGTGTGTGTGTGTTACAGTGCGGAGGAGAAACTCCAGCTGGACTTTGTGGATATGATCCGTGTTCGAGACGAGAGGAGGAGGAACAGACACGTAGAGACTCTCAGACGACAGAAAGAAGAGGAGGAGGGGAGAGAGGGAGGAGAGGAGGGGAGAGAGGGAGGAGAGGAGGGGAGAGAGGGAGGAGAGGAGGGGAGAGTGGAGCTATTGGGGGATGTGGAGGAGGGGGGGAGACAAACACCTCCAATAGACACCCCCATCCAACCCTCACCCTCAACCCCACCCTCATCCATATTTTCACCCATATCCTCAACTCCACCCATAACCACCCCTACACCTACCAACCCCTTAGAAAGACAGGTGAGAGGGAAGGAGGGTTCTAACCCCTACTATACAGGGTGTGTACCTAGTGTTAACTCTAACCCCTACCATACAGGGTGTGTACCTAGTGTTAACTCTAACCCTACCATACAGGGTGTGTACCTAGTGTTTAACTATAACCCTACCAACAGGGGTGTGTACCTAGGTTAAACGCTAACCTACCATACAGGGTGTGTACCTAGTGTTAACTCTAACCCCTACCATACAGGGTGTGTACCTAGTGTTAACTATAACCCTACCATACAGGGTGTGTACCTAGTGTTAACTCTAACCCTACCATACAGGGTGTGTACCTAGTGTTAACTCTAACCCCTACCATACAGGGTGTGTACCTAGTGTTAACTCTAACCCTACCATACAGGGTGTGTACCTAGTGTTAACTATAACCCCTACCATACAGGGTGTGTACCTAGTGTTAACTCTAACCCCTACCATACAGGGTGTGTACCTAGTGTTAACTATAACCCCTACCATACAGGGTGTGTACCTAGTGTTAACTATAACCCTACCATACAGGGTGTGTACCTAGTGTTAACTATAACCCTACCATACAGGGTGTGTACCTAGTGTTAACTCTAACCTAACCCTACCATACAGGGTGTGTACCTAGTGTTAACTATACCTATAACCCTACCATACCGGGTGTGGCCTAGTGTTTTTACTATACCCACCATACAGGGTGTTTACCTAGTGTTTTAACTATAACCCTACCATACCGGGTGTGTAACCTAGTGTTAACTCTCACCCCTAACCATCCGGTGTGGTACCTAGTGTTAACTCTAACCCCTACCTCCAGGTGTGTAACCGAGTGTTAACTATAACTCTAACCCTACCATACAGTGTGTTTACTAGTGTTACTCTAACCCCTACCCATACAAAGGGGTGTACCTCGTGTTAACTCTAACCCCTACATCGGGTGTGTACCTAGTGTTAACTCTAACCCCTACATACGGGTGTGTACCTATGTGTTAACTCTAACCCCTACCATCCGGTGTGTACCATAGTGTTTAACTCTAACACTAACCCCTACCCTACAGGGTGTTTACCTAGTGTTTAACTCTAACCTACCATGCAGGGTGTGTACCTAGTGTTAACTCTAACCCCTACCATAACAGGGTGTGTACCTAGTGTTAACTCTAACCCTACCATAACAGGGTGTGTACCCGCTATTGTTAACTCTAACCCTACCATACAGTGGGTTACCCTAGTGTTAACTCTCAACCCCTAACCATACAGGGGTGTACCAGTGTTAACTCTAGACCCTACCCATACAGGGTGTGGACCTAGTGTGGTAAACTCTAACCCCTACCATACAGGGTGTGTACCTAGTGTTACTATAAACCCCTACCCTACAGGGTGTGTACCTATTGTTACTCTAACCCCTACCATACAGGGGGTGTACCTATGTTAACTCAACCCCTACATACAGGGTGTGGTACCTAGTGTTAACTAGAACCCTACCATACAGGGTGTGTACCTAGTGTTAACTACTACAACCCTACCATACAGTGGTGGTGTACCTAGTGTTAACTATAACCCCTACCATACAGGGTGTGTACCTAGTGTTAACTACTAACCCCTACCATACAGGGTGGTGTACCTAGTGTTAACTCTAACCCCTAACCATACAGGGTGTTTACCTAGTTTTAACTATAACCCCTACCATACAAGGTGTGTACTATGTTAACTCTACCCCCTACCATACAGGGTGTGTCCCTAGGTTAACTATACCCCTACCATACAGGGTGTGACCTAGTGTTTCACTCTACCCTACCATACAGGGTGTTACGCATAGTGGTTAACTCTACAACCCAACCATACAGGGTGTGTACCTAGTGTTACCTATAACTCTAACCCCCCCTACCATACCGTGTTGTGTACTACCTATGTTAACTCCTAACCCTACATACAGGGTGTACCATAGTGTTACTCTAACCCTACCATACGGGTGTTGTACCTAGTGTTAACTTCTAACCCCTACCATACCGGGTTGTAACCTGTGTTAACTCTAACCCTACCATACAGGAGTGTGTACCTATTTAATCTAACTCTAACCCTACCATACAGGGTGTGGTACCTAGTGTTTAACCATAACCCCTACCAATCCAGGTGTGTACCTATTGTTAACCTCTAACCCCTACCATACAGGTGTGTACCTAGTGTTAACTCTACCCCTACCATCATGGTGTTACCTATTGTTTTAACTCTAACGCCCTACCATACAGGGTGTGTACCTATGTTAACTCTAACCCCCTACCATACAGGGTGTTACCTAGTGTTACTCACCCCTACCATCAGGTGTGTACATAAGTGTTCACTATACCTACCAACAGGGTTGTACTGTGGTTTTAACTCTAACCCCTACCATACAGGGTGTGTACCTAGTGTTTTAACTCTAACCCCTAACCACCCCACCCATACAGGGTGGGTACTAGTTTAACTCTAACCCCTACCATCGGGTGTGTACCTAGTTTTAATTCTAACCCCTACCATACAGGTGTGTACCTATTTTTAACTATAACCCTAACCCTACATACAGGGTGTGTACCTAGTGTTACCTCTAACCCCTCCATACCGGGTGTGTACTAGTGTTTAACTATACCACCCCTACCATACAGGGTTTGTACCTATGTTAACTATAACTCTAACCTACATCAGGGTGTGTACCTAGTGTTTAACTCTAACCCTACCATACAGGGTGTGTTACCTATGTTAACTATAACTCTAACCCTAACCCATACAGGTGTGTGGTACCTAGTGTTAACGTCTAACCCGACCATACAGGGTTGTTCCGAGTGTTAACTATAACTCTAAACCCTACCATACGGGTGTGTACCTAGTGTTGAACTCTAACCCCTACCATACAGGGTGTGTACCTAGTGTTTAACTTACCCCTACCATACAGGGTGTGTACCTAGTGTTAACTCTAACCCTACCATACAGGGTGTGTACCTAGTGTTAACTATAACTCTAACCCCTACCATACAGGGTGTGTACCTAGTGTTAACTCTAACCCCTACCATACAGGGTGTGTACCTAGTGTTAACTATAACCCTACCATACAGGGTGTGTACCTAGTGTTAACTCTAACCCTACCATACAGTGTGTGTACCTAGTGTTAACTCTAACCCCTACCGTACAGGGTGTGTACCTAGTGTTAACTATAACTCTAACCCTACCATACAGGGTGTGTACCTAGTGTTAACTCTACCCCTACCCATACCAGGGTGTGGTACCTGAGTGTGTTAACTCTAACCCCTACCATCAGGGTGTGGTACCTAGTGTTAACTCTAACCCCTACCATACAGGGTGTGTACCTAGTTTAACTCTAACCCTACCATACAGGGTGTGTACCTAGTGTTAACTAACCCTAACCCCTACCCTACCATCCGGGTGTGGTACCTAGTGTTAACTCTAACCCTACCATACAGGGTGTGTACCTAGTGTTAACTAACCCCTACCATACAGGGTGTGTACCTAGTGTTAACTATAACCCTACCATACAGGGTGTGTACCTAGTGTTAACTATAACCCTACCATACAGGGTGTGTACCTAGTGTTAACTATAACCCCTACCATACAGGGTGTGTACCTAGTGTTAACTATAACCCTACCATACAGGGTGTGTACCCGCGTGTTAACTATAACCCTACCTAACAGGGTGTGGACCTAGTGTTACGCCTAACGCCCTACCATACAGTGTGTGTACCTATGTTAACTCTAACCCCTACCATACAGGGTGTGTTACATAGTGTTAACTATAACCCCTACATACAGGGTTTGTTCCTAGTGTTAACTCTAACCCCTACCATACAGTGTGTTTACTAGTGTTAACTCTAACCCTACATACAGGGTGTGGTACCTAGTGTTCACTCTAACCCTACCATAAGGGTTTGTACCTAGTTAACTCTAACCCCTACCATACAGGGTGTGTACCTAGTGTTAACTCACCACTACCATACAGGGTGTGTACCTAGTTGTTAACTTAACCCTACATACAAGGTGTGTACCTAGTGTTAACTCTACCCCTACATACAGGGTGTTATCCTAGTGGCATATAAACACCCTACCAACAGGGTGTGTACCTATGTTAACTCTACCCTACCATACATGGGTGTGTACCTAGTGTTACTCTAACCCTACCATAACGGGTGGGTACCAGTGTTAAAACTATAACCTAACCCCTCCTACAGGGTGTGTACCCTAGTGTTTAACTCTAACCCTACCATACAGGGTGTGGTACCGAGTGTTACTTATCTAACCCTACCTACAGGGTGTGTACTAGTGTTAACTCTAACCCCTACCCTACAGTTGTGTACCTAGTGTTAAATCTAACCCCTACCATACAGGGTTGTGACCTAGTGTTAACTCGTAAACCCTACATACGGGTGTGTAACCTAGTGTTTAACTCGAACTTAACCCTACCATACAGGTGTGTCCCTAGTGTTAACTCTCCCCTCCCATAACAGGGTGTGTACCTAGGGTTAACTCTAACCCCCTACCATACAGGGTGTGTAACCTAGTTTAACTCTAAAAACCCCTACCATACAGGGTGTGTACCTAGTGTTAACTCCTCTACCCCTACCATACCAGGGGGTTGTACCTAGTGTTAACTCTAACCCCTAACCATACAGGGTGTGTACCTAGTTACTATACCCTACCATACAGGTGTTACCTAGTGTTAACTCTAAACCCTACCATACATGGTGTAACCTATGTTAACCTCAACTCCCTACCATACAGGGTGTGTACCTATTGTTAACTCTAACCCACCATACGTGTGGTGTACTAGTGTTTTTTTATTCTAACCCCTAACGTACAGGGTGTGTACCTGGTGTTAACTAATAACCCTAACCCACCATACAGGGTGTGTAACCTAGTGTTAACTATAACCCCTACCTACGGGTGTGTACCTATGTTAACTATAACGTCTAACCCTACCCGATACAGGGTGTGACCTAGTTTTTAACTCTACCCTACCATACAGGGTGTGTAACCTAGTGTTACTATAATCGACCCTAACCATACAGGTGGTACATAGTGTTAACTCTAACCCTACTCATACAGTGTGGTACCTCGTGTTACCTATAACTCTAACCACCATACAGGGTGTGTACCTAGTGTTAACTCTAACCCCTACCATATACAGGGTGTGTACCTAGTGGTTAACTATAACCTCTACCATAACAGTGTTACGAGTGTTAAACTCTATCTAACCCTACCATACAGGGTGTTACCTAGTGTTACTATAAACTCTAACCCCTACCATACGGTGTGTTACCAGTGTTTAACTCTAAACCTACATACAGGGTGTGTACCTAGTGTTACTCTAACCCTACCATACAGGGTGGTGTACCCCGTGTTACAACTATAACCCTACCATACAGGGTGTTTACCTAGTGTTTAACTCTAACCCTACGCATAACGGGTTTGTACCTAGTGTTAACTCTAACCCTATACCATACATGGGTGTGTACCTAGTGTTAACTATAACCCCACCATCAGGGTTGTGACCTAGTGATACTCTAACCCCCTACCATACAGGGTGTGACCTAGTGTAACTCCGAACCCCTACCATACGGGTGTGTACCTAGTGTTAACTTCTAACCCTAACCATCAGGTTGTGTACCTAGTGGTTAACTATAACCCCTACCATACAGGGTGTGTACCTAGTGTTTACCTCTAACCCCTACATACAAGGGTGTGTGTACCTAGTGTTTAACTATAACTCTAACCCCTCCCATAATAACAGGTGTGTACCTAGTGTTAACTCTCACCCTACCATACAGGGTTGGTGTCCTAGTGTAACTATAACCCTAACCCCTCCATACAGGGTGTGTACCGATTGTTTCACTATAACCCTACCCCTACCCATACAGGGTGCGGTGGACCTAGTGTTTTACTCTAACCCCTACCATACAGGGTGTGTACCTAGTGTTAACTCTAACCCTACCCATACAGGTGTTTTAACTCTAGTGTTAAACTCTAACCCCTACCCTACAATGGTGGTGGTAACCTAGTGTTAACCTATACCCCTACATAAGGGTGTGTACCTAGTGTTACTATAAACCCCTACCTACAGGGTGTGTACCTAGTGTTAAAACTATACTCTAACCCCTACCTTACAGGTGTGTAACTATGTTAACTCTAACCCCCTACCAGACAGTGTGTGTACTGTGTTAACTCTAACCCCTACCATACCAGGGTGTGTACCTATTGTTAACTTACCCTACCTAACAGGGTGTGTCCTAGTGTTAACTCTAACCCCTCCATACAGGGTGTTTACCTAGTGTTACTCTAACCCTACCTACAGTGTGTGTACCTAGTGTTAACTCTAACCTACCCTACAGTGTGTGTACCTTGTTAACTCTACAACCCTACCATACAGGGTGTGTACCTAGTGTTTAACTAGACTCTAACCCCAACCCTACAGGGTTGTAACCTAGTGTTAACTCTAAACCCCTAACCTATACAGGGTGTGTACCACTTGTTAACTATAACTCTAACCCTACCATACAGGTGTGTACCTAGTGTTAACTCTAACTCCCTACCATACAGGGTGTGTACCTAGTGTAACTATAACCCCATACATCAGGGTGTGTACCTAGTGTTAACTCTCCCTACCTACCAGGGTGTGTACCTGTGGTTACTCTAACCCCTCCATACAGGGTGGTGTACCTAGTTTAACTATAAACCTAAACATAACAGGGTGTGTACCTAGTGTTAACTATAACTCTAAACCCCTACCATACGGGTGTGTACCTAGTGTTAACTCAAACCCTACCATACGGGTGTGTAACTAGGTTACGATACCCTACCATACAGGGTGTGTACCTAGTGGGTTAACTCTAACTCTAACCCTACCACTACAGGGTTGGTACCTAGTGTTAACTCTAACCCCTACCATACAGGGTGTGTACCTAGTGTTAACTCTAACCCCTACCATACAGGGTGTGTACCTAGTGTTAACTATAACCCCTACCATACAGGGTGTGTACCTAGTGTTAACTCTAACCCTAACCATACAGGGTGTGGTTACCTAGTGTTTAACTCTACCCCACCATACAGGTGTGTACTAGTGTTACTCTAACCCTACACCCGACCATCAGGGTGTGTAACCTAGTGTTAACTATCACCCCACCATACAGGTGGTGTACCTAGTGTTACTCGAACCCTACCCCTACCGTACAGGGTGTGTACCTACCTATTGTTAACCCTTATAACTCTAACCCGACCATACAGGGTGTGTACCTAGTGTTACTATAACGCTACCATTACAAGGGTGTGTACCTAGTTTTACTAACTCTAACCCCGACCCTACAGGTGTGTACCTCGTGGTTCACTATCACCACTACTATACATGGTGTGTACCTAGTGTTAACTCTAACCCCTACCATACAGGGTGTGTACCTAGTGTTAACTATAACTCTAACCCCTACCATACAGGGTGTGTACCTAGTGTTAACTCTAACCCCTACCATACAGGGTGTGTACCTAGTGTTAACTATAACTCTAACCCCTACCATACCCAGGTGTGTCCCTATGTTAACCTAACCCCCCTACCATAACAGGGTGTGTACCTAGTGTTAACTCTAACCCCTACCTACCAGGGTGTGTTACCTAGTGTTTTTAACTCTAACCCTACCATACAGGTTTTGTCCTAGTGTTAATAACCCCTACATACAGGGTGTGTAGCCTAGTGTTAACTTTTTATACTCTAAACCCCTAACCATACGGGTGTGTACTAGTGTTACTCTACCCCCCCATACAGTGTGGTAAACCTATGTTTAAGCTCTAAACCCCTACCATACAGGGTGGTACCTAGTGTTAACTCTCAACCGCCTACCATACAGTGTGTGTACCTAGTGTTTAACTCTAACCCCTACCATAAGGGTGTGTACCTAGTGTTAACTTAACTCTACCCCACCATACAGGGTGTGTACCTAGTGTTTAACTCTAACCCCTACCATACAGGTGTGTTACCGAGTTGTTAACTATAACTCTAACCCCTACATACAGGGTGTGTACCTATTTAATTCGAACCCCCTACCATACAGGGTGTGTACTACTAGTGTTAACTATACCCTACCAACAGGGTGTGTACCTAGGTTAACTCTCCCTACCATACAGGTGTGTAACTAGTTTTACTATAACTCTACCCTCCATAATACAGGGTGTGTACCTAGTGTTAACTCTAACCCCTACCATCAGGGTGTGTACCTCGTGTTAACTATAACCTACCATACAGGGTGTGTACCTATGTTACTATAACTCTAACCCTACCCATACAGGTGGTGTACCTAGTGTTAACTCGTAGCCCCCTACCATACAGGGTGTGGACCTATTTTAACTCTACACCCCCTACCCGTACAGGTTGTGTACCTATGTTACTAGAACCCCTACCATACGGGTGTGTACCTATGTTAACTTATCACCCCTACCAATACGGGTGTGTTACCTAGTGTTACTCTAAACTACCATACAGGGTGTGTACCTAGTGTTAACTCTAACCCCTACCATACAGGGTGTGTACCACCTAGTTTATCTCCTACCCTACCACCTACCATAAGGGTGTGTACCTAGTGTTAACTCTAACCCCTACCATACAGGGTGTTACCTAGTGTTACCTCTACCCTAACCCTACCACCGTACAGGGTGTGTACCTAGTGTTAACTATAACTCTCACCCCTACCAATAAAAAAACAGGGTGTTACCCTATGTTAACTAGAACCTACCATACAGGGTTGTGTACCTGTGTTAACTCTAAAAACCCTACCATACAGGGTGTGTACCTGTGTTAGAACTCTAACCCTACCATACAGGGTGTGTACCGAGTTGTTTTACTATACCCCTACCATACAGGTGGTGGACCTAGGGTTAACTATAACCCTACCATACGGGTGTTGTCCCTAGTTTAACTATAACTCTACCCTACCAGACGTGTGTGTATAGTGTTACTCTAACCCCTACCATACAGGGTGTGTACTATTGTTAACTCTAACCCTACCCGCCTACCATACAGGGTGTGTACGCTCGTTTAACTAACCTCTAACCCCTACATACAGGGTGTGGTACTAGTGTTAATTCTAGCCCCCTACCATACGGGTGTTTACCTAGGTGAACTATAACCCCTACCAGACAGGGTGTGTACTAGTGTTCACTCTAACCCTACCATCGCAGGTGTTTTACCTAGTTGTTAACTATACTCTAACCTCACATACAGGGTGTGTACCTAGTGGTTAACTCTAACCCCATACCAATACAGGGTGTGTACCTAGTGTTTAACTATAACCCTAGCCATACAGGGTGTGTACTCAGTGTTTAACTATAAACTCTAACCACCAGACAGGGTGTGAACCTAGTGTTAACTCTACCCCTACCATACGGTGTTACCTAGTGTTAACCGACCCCTACGTACAAGGTTGTCCTAGTGTTTAACTATAACCCCCTACCATACAGGGTGTGTACCTAGTGTTACATCTAACCCCTCCATACCATACAGTGTGTGTACCTAGTGTTTACCTCTAACCCCTACCATACAGGGTGGTGTACCGAGTGTTAACTCTAACCCTAACCCACCGTACGGTGTGTACTAGTGTTAACTATAACTCTAGACACCCTACCATACAGGGTGTGTACCTAGTTTACTTAACCCTACCATACGGGTGTGTACCTGTGTTAACTCTAACCCCTACCATACAGGGTGGTGTACCTGTGGTTAACTATAACCCCTCCATACAGGGGGTTACCTCTGGTTAACTCTAACCCCTACCATACAGGGTTGTCCTAGTGTTAACTATAACCCCTACATACAGGGTGTTACCTAGTGTTAACTATAACCCCCTACCATACCGGTGTGTACCTATGTTAACTATAACCCCTACCATACAGGGTGGGTTACCTAGTGTTACCTCTAACCCCTAATACAGGGTGTGTAACGCATGTTAACTCTAACCCTAACCCTCCATACGGTTGTACCGTAGTGTTACTATCACCCCGCCCATACAAGGTTTGTACCTCAGTGTTCACTCTATACCCCTAACCATCGGGGTTGTACCTATTTGTAACTTAACCCCTACCATACAGGTGTGTACCTAGTGTTACTCTAACCCTACCATACAGGGTGTGTACCTAGTGTTAACTCTAACACCCGACCCTCACAGGTGTGTACCTAGTGTTAACTATAACCCCTACCTCAGGGTGTGTACCTATTGTTAACTATACCCTAACCTACCATAAACAGGGTTTGTACCTATTTAACTATAACCCCTACCATACAGGTTTGTACCTAGTGTTACTATACCCCTACCATACAGGGTGTGTACCCCTAGTGTGTAACTATGACTCTACCCTACCATACATAGGTGTGACCTAGTGTTCACTATAACCCTACCCATACAGGTTTGTTACCTAGTGTTACTATACCCTAACCCCTACCATACCGGGTGGGTAACCTAGTGTTAACTCTACCCCAACCCTACAGGTGTTACCAGTGGTTATCTCTAACCCTACCATACAGGGTGGTGTACCTAATGTTAACTTCTAACCCTACCATACAGGGTTGTACCGAGTGTAACTATAACCCTACCCCTACCATACAGGGTGTGTACCCTAGTGTTAACTATAACCCCTACCATACAGGTGTGTCCTAGTGTTAACTATAACCCCTACCATACAGGGTGTGTACTAGTGTGAACTATACCTACCATACAGGGTGTGGTACCTAGTGTTTAACTATAACCCTACCATACAAGGGTGTGGTATCCTAGTGTTAACTATAACCCTACCATACGGTGGTGTACCTAGTGTTAACTCTAACCCTACCATACATGTGTGTACCTAGTGTTACTCATAACCCCTCCATACAGGGTGTGGTACCCTAGTGTTAACTCTAACCCCTACCTCAGGGGGGGTTTTGGGTGGGGGGTGTTGTACCTAGTGTTACTATAACCCCCTGACCCACAGGGTGTGTACCTAGTGTTACTATACCCCTACCATACGGGTGTGTACCTAGTGTTACCTCTAACCCCTACCTACAGGGTGTTGTACCTAGTGTTAGGCTCCTAACCCTAAACCATACAGGGTGGTGTACCTATGTTAACTATAACCCTACCATACAGGGTGTGTACCTAGTGTTAACTCTAAACCCCTACCTATACAGGGGTGTGTACCTAGTGTTAACTAGAACCCTCCATACAGGGTGTGTAGCCTATGTTAACTCTAACCCCTACCATACGGGTGTGTACCTAGTGTTAAACTCCTAACCCCTACCATACAGGGTTTGGTACCTAGTGTAACTATAAAACCCTACCATACAGGGTGTGTACCTAGTGTTAACTATAACCCTAACCATACAGGTGTGTACCTAGTGTTAACGATAACCCACTACCATACAGGGTTTTGCGTAGTGTTAACTCTAAACCCTCACCATACGTGTGTGGGTACCTAGTGGTTACTCTCAACCCCCTAACCCTACAAGGTGTTTTTTGGCGTAGTGTTAACTCTAACCCCATACCATACCGGTTTTTGCGTAGGTGTTAACTATAAAACCCTACCTACGGGTGTGTACCTGTGTTAACTATAACCTACCATACAGGGTGTGTACCCTAGTGTTAACTCAACCCCTACCATAACAGGTGGTGTACCTAGTGTGAACTCTAACCCATACCATACAGGGTTGTACTAGTGTGAACTATACCCTACCATACCGGGTGTGTAACCGATTGTTAACTTAACCTAACCATTAACCGGGTGTGTACTAGTGTTACTATAACCCCTCCAATACAGGGTGTTTGCGTAGTGGTTAACTCTAAACCCCTACCATACAGGGTGTGTACCTAGTGTTAACTCTACCCCTACAACTCTAACCCATACCATACGTGTTTTTTGCGTAGTGTTAAACTCTAACCCCCTACCATACGGGTTTTTGCGTAGTGTTAACTATAACCCTAACCATACATGGTGTGTACTGTGTAACTTACAAACCCTACATACAGGGTGTGGACCTAGTGTTCTCTAACCCCTACAACGGGTGTGTAACTGTGTTAACTCTATAACCTCCTACCTACAGGGTTTTTCTGCGTAGTGTTAACTATAAAACCTAAGCCTCCTACCATTTGTTAATAATCTACTCCACTAACAGATGGGACCTTTCTCCCTACCCCCTGGGGAACACTATCAGCCTCGCACACACCTACAGACTGATCCATATACGCACACACACACGCACACACACACGCACACACACACACACACACACACACACCACACACACACACACACACACACACACACACACCGTCAGAGGTCGAGAGTTTAGACATGTAGAAACATTGAGAGGGTCTCCGGTGTGCCAGACTAACGTGGGTGTCGGTTTTGATTTGATACGATCCTGTTGGTGTGAACTCATCATCCTCTGTTCCTTAACCTCACCCTAACCCTCTGTTCAGCAATATGAACTCAACCTCAAAGAGCTTTCTTTTGTTTGTTTGCTTATATGCCGTTGATAAGGCTGTTTCTGTGGCGGTGTGAATCACAGTTATCTGTAGAGACTACTCCGTGGAGTCATCTTTTTGAAGTTTCTGGCTCTCACAGACCTGTAACTTCTTCTTTAAGAGGATCCTCTGTCCTCCACTCGTTACCTGTATTAATGGCACCTGTTTGAACTTGTTATCAGTATAAAAGACACCTGTCCACAACCTCAAACAGTCACACTCCAAACTCCACTATGGCCAAGACCAAAGAGCTGTCAAAGGACACCAGAGACAAAATTGTAGACCTGCACCAGGCTGGGAAGACTGAATCTGCAATAGGTAAGCAGCTTGGTTTGAAGAAATCAACTGTGGGAGCAATTATTAGGAAATGGAAGACATACAAGACCACTGATAATCTCCCTCGATCTGGGGCTCCACGCAAGATCTCACCCCGTGGGGTCAAAATGATCACAAGAACGGTGAGCAAAAATCCCAGAACCACACGGGGGGACCTAGTGAATGACCTGCAGAGAGCTGGGACCAATGTAACAAAGCCTACCATCAGTAACACACTACGCCGCCAGGGACTCAAATCCTGCAGTGCCAGACGTGTCCCCCTGCTTAAGCCAGTACATGTCCAGGCCCGTCTGAAGTTTGCTAGAGTGCATTTGGATGATCCAGAAGAGGATTGGGAGAATGTCATATGGTCAAATGAAACCAAAATAGAACTTTTTGGTAAAAACTCAACTCGTCGTGTTTGGAGGACAAAGAACGCTGAGTTGCATCCAAAGAACACCATACCTACTGTGAAGGATGGGGGTGGAAACATCATGCTTTGGGGCTGTTTTTCTGCAAAGGGACCAGGACGACTGATCCGTGTAAAGGAAAGAATGAATGGGGCCATGTATCGTGAGATTTTTAGTGAAAACCTCCTTCCATCAGCAAGGGCATTGAAGATGAAACGTGGCTGGGTCTTTCAGCATGACAATGATCCCAAACACACCGCCCGGGCAACGAAGGAGTGGCTTCGTAAGAAGCATTTCAAGGTCCTGGAGTGGCCTAGCCAGTCTCCAGATCTCAACCCCATAGAAAATCTTTGGAGGGAGTTGAAAGTCTGTGTTGCCCAGCGACAGCCCCAAAACATCACTGCTCTAGAGGAGATCTGCATGGAGGAATGGGCCAAAATACCAGCAACAGTGTGTGAAAACCTTGTGAAGACTTACAGAAAACATTTGACCTGTGTCATTGCCAACAAATGGTATATAACAAAGTATTGAGAAACTTTTGTTATTGACCAAATACTTATTTTCCACCATAATTTGCAAATAAATTCATTCAAAATCCTACAATGTGATTTTCTGGAGAATTTTTTTTCTCATTTTGTCTGTCATAGTTGACGTGTACCTATGATGAAAATTACAGGCCTCTCTCATCTTTTTAAGTGGGAGAACTTGCACAATTGGTGGCTGACTAAATACTTTTTTTCCCCACTGTATGTCAAGTTCTATGTGAGCTTGTTTTTTAAATGGTTGAATTAATAAACTAAACTAATCTAGTTATTCATGAAAAAACAGGCCCTACCCGGCCCTAACTCGATGTATAATGTCGGGGCCCGTTGGGTTCTGGTCGGGTAGCACCCACTCCAACTGTGATCCTTGCTACATCATGGCTGTTGTGTTTGATGATCAATTATCTTTTTGTTTTCTCCAACTTTGTCTCTCTCTCTCTCTCCTCTCAATCTCTCTCTGTGTGTCTGTCTCTCTGTCAGTGCCAGCGTCCGGATGGCCTCCAAGACATTTGAACCCAGTAGCTCGGTAAGTTAGAGTTAGGGTCAGGGGTTAGGGGTTTATGATATTAAAGATATAAAATATATTCTTTTTCAATCGCTTTGGTGCTATTTTGACATGTATGTGGTTAATTTTTTTAACTCTTAGTACAAAACGCCAAACCGGTAACACTTGAAACATCTCATATTGTACATTCATTTTGTTTGAAGACATATTTCACCACACAACCATTGATCCAAAATATAAGTTTACTGTGAAATACCATGAGAACATTGATTTAATCACCAAAACAAAACATAATGATGTCTTCTCAATTTAGTTATTTTAACAACTAGTTAATCCAATAGCAAAAATATCCTACATTTTGATGTTTCAAAATTGCCATTTGAATGTAATATGCTACAGTACTATAAATTACAGTATATTACACTGTTTTCACATTAGGGTTAGGGTTAGGGTTAGGGTTACTCATTAAAATGGACTCAACATATAAAAAGTATACTCGGCCATAACAGACTTGACATATGGGCAAATAAAACGCATATTTGGAATTGTATCAACTCGCCAACCAAGGCTTTTACTTGCAACATAATGTTAATGCACTAAAAAGGAACAATGGGTACATATTGAAGAGGCGAATGCTCATCCCCTGAATATATTTTCAAAGGATAAAGTTAAGAACGTTAACAGCATCATTGTTAAGAAAACTATAAAAATATGGAAGAAAATGAAACGTATTCTACAAGAACTGAAAACACACCCCTATGGAACAATCCTTGGATAGCTTTTCAGAATTCCCTGATAGATTGGTCCTCATGGAACACTAAAGGTATAGAAACCGTTAATGACTTGGTAACAGGAAATATAATTATTTCCATGACAGAATTAAAAAGCAATTTTGGACAGACCAATGTAGACATTTTCAAATATATGCAACTTATACGTTTTATATCACGAAATTTCGACCTGAAATCTTTTGGACATCAGAGCAATGTTGAGGGAATCCTATTTGACTCAGAAAAATACACTCATATGATAGGGAAGATATACAACATCTTGCAGAGACAGAGAGCCGATCCAACTGTCAATCAATTAGTGTCACGCCCTGGCTCTGGGGACTCTAATATGTTGAGCCAGGGTGTGTATAGTCTATGTGTGTTCTAGGTTTCACTTTCTGGTTTTGTAGATCTATGTTGGCCAGGGTGGCTCCCAATCAGAGACGGCTGTAGCTCGTTGTCTCTGATTGGGAGTCATACTTAGGTAGCCGTTTGGCACTCATTCATTGTGGTTTCTTGTTCGTATTTGGTTTGTGTTTACCATTGACTGTCACGTCATCGTTTTGTTGTTTTGATCGTGTGATCATTAATATAATAAATATGTTCGCCTTCAACGCTGCGCCTTGGTCCTCCTCTCTCACCGACGATCGCGACAGAAGAAACCACCAAGATTTGACCAAGCAGCGTGTCCAGGAGCCATCACCAGGGAGATCCCTAGCAGATCTCCTTCGCCTCCTCGACTGGGTCAAGCCGAGTGAGGAAGAGAAGGGCTTAATAATAATAATAATAATATGCCATTTAGCAGACGCTTTTATCCAAAGCGACTTACAGTCATGCGTGCATACATTTTTGTGTATGGGTGGTCCCGGGGATCGAACCCACTACCTTGGCGTTACAAGCGCCGTGCTCTACCAGTTGAGCTACAGAGGATCAGGCTTGACATTGTGGCAGAAGGGCGAAAGGCTGGCGAGGGACATGGAGACCTGGTCCACGGGTAGGAGAGACGCCCAGACATTTTTTTAGGGGGGGGGCTAACGCCGTGGACGACGGGCCAGCAGGAGACCGCGGCAGAGCGGCCCAGCGGATTGGCAGAGGAGGCCGCCAGGTTACGGGGGCCACTGGTCGAAGAGGGGGTGGAAGGTGTAGAGGCACGGCGAGAGGTACTGGGGTGTGTTACCAGTCCGGTCCGGCCCATTCCAGATCCCTGCGTAGGACCAGTGGTGTGTGTCCCCAGTACGGTCCGGCCTGTTCCTGCTCCCCGCACCAAGTCAGTGGTGCGCTTCGTCAGCCCGGCTCGGCCCGTTCCTGCTCCCCGCACCAAGTCAGTGGTGCGCTTCGTCAGCCCGGCTCGGCCCGTTCCTGCTCCCCGCACCAAGTCAGTGGTGCGCTTCGTCAGCCCGGCTCGGCCCGTTCCTGCTCCCCGCACCAAGTCAGTGGTGCGCTTCGTCAGCCCGGCTCGGCCCGTTCCTGCTCCCCGCCCCAAGTCAGTGGTGCGCTTCGTCAGCCCGGCTCGGCCCGTTCCTGCTCCCCGCACCAAGTCAGTGGTGCGCTTCGTCAGCCCGGCTCGGCCCGTTCCTGCTCTCCGCACCAAGTCAGTGGTGCGCTTCGACAGCCCGGCTCGGCCCGCTCCTGCTCCCCACACCAAGCCAGTGGTGTGCGTCGTCAGTCCGGCACGGCCCGTGCCTGTTCCACCGGTGGCTGGTCCGGCACCGGTCAGATGCTTCATGCCGGAGCTAGAGCAATCCGCTCCACCAGTGTGCAGTCCAGCTCCGGCCAGCGGGGCCAGACCGGACCAGGGGTACTTTGGGGGGTTGGAGAGGGAGCGGGGATCAGGCCCGGAGCCGGATCCGCCGCCTAAGCGGAGTGCCCACCCGGTCCCTCCCCTGTGGTGTTTGGTGGGCGCGGTCGGAGTCCGCGCCTTTAGGGGGGGGTACTGTCACGCCCTGGCTCTGGGGACTCTAATATGTTGAGCCAGGGTGTGTATAGTCTATGTGTGTTCTAGGTTTCACTTTCTGGTTTTGTAGATCTATGTTGGCCAGGGTGGCTCCCAATCAGAGACGGCTGTAGCTCGTTGTCTCTGATTGGGAGTCATACTTAGGTAGCCGTTTGGCACTCATTCATTGTGGTTTCTTGTTCGTATTTGGTTTGTGTTTACCATTGACTGTCACGTCATCGTTTTGTTGTTTTGATCGTGTGATCATTAATATAATAAATATGTTCGCCTTCAACGCTGCGCCTTGGTCCTCCTCTCTCACCGACGATCGCGACAGAAGAAACCACCAAGATTTGACCAAGCAGCGTGTCCAGGAGCCATCACCAGGGAGATCCCTAGCAGATCTCCTTCGCCTCCTCGACTGGGTCAAGCCGAGTGAGGAAGAGAAGGGCTTAATAATAATAATAATAATATGCCATTTAGCAGACGCTTTTATCCAAAGCGACTTACAGTCATGCGTGCATACATTTTTGTGTATGGGTGGTCCCGGGGATCGAACCCACTACCTTGGCGTTACAAGCGCCGTGCTCTACCAGTTGAGCTACAGAGGATCAGGCTTGACATTGTGGCAGAAGGGCGAAAGGCTGGCGAGGGACATGGAGACCTGGTCCACGGGTAGGAGAGACGCCCAGAAATTTTTTAGGGGGGGGGCTAACGCCGTGGACGACGGGCCAGCAGGAGACCGCGGCAGAGCGGCCCAGCGGATTGGCAGAGGAGGCCGCCAGGTTACGGGGGCCACTGGTCGAAGAGGGGGTGGAAGGTGTAGAGGCACGGCGAGAGGTACTGGGGTGTGTTACCAGTCCGGTCCGGCCCATTCCAGATCCCTGCGTAGGACCAGTGGTGTGTGTCCCCAGTACGGTCCGGCCTGTTCCTGCTCCCCGCACCAAGTCAGTGGTGCGCTTCGTCAGCCCGGCTCGGCCCGTTCCTGCTCCCCGCACCAAGTCAGTGGTGCGCTTCGTCAGCCCGGCTCGGCCCGTTCCTGCTCCCCGCACCAAGTCAGTGGTGCGCTTCGTCAGCCCGGCTCGGCCCGTTCCTGCTCCCCGCACCAAGTCAGTGGTGCGCTTCGTCAGCCCGGCTCGGCCCGTTCCTGCTCCCCGCCCCAAGTCAGTGGTGCGCTTCGTCAGCCCGGCTCGGCCCGTTCCTGCTCCCCGCACCAAGTCAGTGGTGCGCTTCGTCAGCCCGGCTCGGCCCGTTCCTGCTCTCCGCACCAAGTCAGTGGTGCGCTTCGACAGCCCGGCTCGGCCCGCTCCTGCTCCCCACACCAAGCCAGTGGTGTGCGTCGTCAGTCCGGCACGGCCCGTGCCTGTTCCACCGGTGGCTGGTCCGGCACCGGTCAGATGCTTCATGCCGGAGCTAGAGCAATCCGCTCCACCAGTGTGCAGTCCAGCTCTGGCCAGCGGGGCCAGACCGGACCAGGGGTACTTTGGGGGGTTGGAGAGGGAGCGGGGATCAGGCCCGGAGCCGGATCCGCCGCCTAAGCGGAGTGCCCACCCGGTCCCTCCCCTGTGGTGTTTGGTGGGCGCGGTCGGAGTCCGCGCCTTTAGGGGGGGGTACTGTCACGCCCTGGCTCTGGGGACTCTAATATGTTGGGCCAGGGTGTGTATAGTCTATGTGTGTTCTAGGTTTCACTTTCTGGTTTTGTAGATCTATGTTGGCCAGGGTGGCTCCCAATCAGAGACGGCTGTAGCTCGTTGTCTCTGATTGGGAGTCATACTTAGGTAGCCGTTTGGCACTCATTCATTGTGGTTTCTTGTTCGTATTTGGTTTGTGTTTACCATTGACTGTCACGTCATCGTTTTGTTGTTTTGATCGTGTGATCATTAATATAATAAATATGTTCGCCTTCAACGCTGCGCCTTGGTCCTCCTCTCTCACCGACGATCGTGACAATTAGAAACAAATATAAACTACTGGAATCAAGACTAAAAATAACTGATGTTGGCACAAGATGGAGGGAGTGTTGTAACAGAACTAACAAAATTACAGTTAACGAAAATGTACGCTTGATCCAGTATAAACTAACAAAATTCCCAAATTCTACAGCACAACGTCAGAGTCATGTCTTCAGTGTAAAAATAACAAGGACTCAATAGTTAATGTCTTCTCGGAGTGCTATAAAGTCCAAAAGTTAGACGTTTTACAATGTACATTTACTTTTAATCTGTCTATCTGCATATTTCAAGACATGGCATATGAGGGGGCGGTGAGATACCCAATGGGGTGGACTAGGGCTGTTACAGTGACCGTATTACCAAGTCATGATGGCAGTCAAATTCCATGTGACCTTTTAGTCACGGTAATTAGGCTTGGTCATTAGTAGCCTACCAAACTAGCTAACTGCCTGGTACTCAGCACTCTATTGTTCCACTAATCACTCTGACATCAATGCAAATGTAATCTAAAATCTAATCAAATACTTAATGAGAGTCCATAAACTCATGTTGCGCAACATTTCTATAGGATATGCAATTGTGTGAGAAAACAGAGTGATGGCCTCTATTAAAAAGAGGAGGATCCCATCAGCTTTCTATAGGCTAGGCCTACTATATTTATTTCTCAACTTTCCTAATATTAAGCACATTGCTTCTCTTTACAACAGGAGTATAGCCTACCTGGCTGGCATGAAAATGAACCACAGGAAAAGTGTCCTCCATTCGCTATTTATATGCATAGATGACATGTATTTTTTCCCCCTGCCCCTGTTTCAAGACAAGATTAAATAAAGAATACTGTGATGGGGGGGGGGGGGGGTGACAATATTAGCCTATCACTTGTGAATGATGCCCAGCTTAAGGCAAACAGCACATGCTTTTTTGGCAACTTTTTCGAATCATAGTCACACACTTCATGTAGCCTAGCCCATAGGCCTATATGTTCTGATAAGGTTTGTATCACAACTATAGTAGCCAAATATTTTATTAAAATCAACCACATTAATCCGCTTTACAACGGGTGTAGAGCCTAACTTGCATACATACGCAGCGAGTGAGTTTCAAGTTTGGGAAGATCATTTTCACCATAAAAACTGCACCTTTATAATAAAAGCATTACATGCATAATCACATTTGTGGTCACTTTTGAGAATGCTGTTTTCCTGCTAATGGAACATTCATGCTTATAGCCTACTGCCGTGTGCGCATTGCTGTGCTTATAATGTGAAGAAATAGCCTAATAGTTTATCAACATTTTAAGCAAAACGTTCTCATCTGTTGCGTCAGGCTCATTGCTTAAAGTTTTTTTGATGCTAGTGGTTGTATTAATTTGGGATCTATCGCATCCAACAACTGTCCCAGACTATGTTTGGAATATTGATTTCTCGCACAGAATAGGTCAACTTTTGTACTATGGGGGAAAGTAGATTGACAGGCTAGTGCTTTTGCTGTTCGTTAGGCCTACTCATCTTGTTGGCTGATGAAAAGTAAATGTGGACAGTTCTTCCAATATCTTCAATATGCACCTTGGAATTGGATAAGGACACGTGAAGTTGCGTCCCCGAAGTGTCTTTCTTCACTTGTAGCCTGTGAGAAAGACCCGATGATGGAGAGCCATGTGATGAGAGGTGCTTCGGAGCGCGCAGCACTCAGGGAGAAGGGCACAACGCAGCACTCCGGGCCAAGGGCACAACAGCCATTGGCCGCAAAAGTCATGGATGTTTTTAGGGGGATTATGGCCACACAAAGGGGATGCCGCCGGGAAATTCGAGGCAAATTGTGAATGAGAGACTGATGAAGTGTGTGCAGCCTGCGCAATATACAAAGCAGAGCTCATGCCTTTCATGAAACGTTTTTCAAATCATCATTAGAGTCGCATCATGCAGCCATAGAATGTATAAAAAACAAAACATATAGCCCAACATTTGTATCACAACTAAAGTTACATTAATAACTCTAAATTAAGCATATAGGAGGACCTGTTTCTTTGTTAACTGCTCAACACAGAATAGCCGCATCTGCGCTGTCTGTGGTTGGAAACGGTCCAACTATGTCTACCCCCAGTCTCTCCATGGGCTCCCCTACTGGGAATTGTTGTAGGAGGGCGTGTGACTGACCTGGAGGTCCTTTCTTAGCAGCACACTCGTCGCACTGCCTGCAAAAGTCCTCCACATCCCTCCTGTGCCTGGCCCAATAGAAGCCTTTACGTACGCGCTTTAACGTTTTGGAGAACCCAAAATGCCCTGCGCCTACTCCCCCGTGAAGCTGCTGTAACACGCTCCCTTGCAGCCTTTTGGGAACCACTACCTGCCATGTAATTTCTCCAGTAGCTGGCTTTTTCCACTCCCTCTGGAGCACTCCCTCAGCCACTCTAAGGACTGAGAATTTAGCCCACAGTCCTTTGGTGACTGGTGATAGAGGGGCTACTTCCCCCCACGGCGGTCGTCTTCTCTCTTCCACCCACCCCAGCACAGGACGCAGCTCTGCGTCCTCCTCCTGGCGACGCCTTCCACTCCCCGACGTCCACAGCCTCAAGCTCCTGGCACTCTGTCACCCTCAGCTGACTCACCGTGGCGGTGACTCCCTCCTCCATGCACAGTTCCCTCTCTCGCTCCACCCGTTTGGCGCAGTACCCACAGCCGTCCTCAGCACACGGGCGGCGGGACAAGGCGTCTGCATTGCTGTGGCGAAGGCCAGCCCTGTGCTCCACCTGGAAGTCGTAGGGTTGCAGCTCCTCCAACCAGCGGGGCTGCCTGTGCTTGCACCATTATGGGGAGTGAAGGTCGTTGCCGCCGGAGACAGCTGCTGGGATGGCACAACGACCAAGGGAGCAGCCGGGACGACCAGTGGAGTTTCGGCAAGCTTGGAGGAAGACGGAGTGACAGCCCTGCCCCCTGCTGGCCCTCCCGAAGGCGACATTCCCACTGTGGGCCCCCCCGACAGCCTCAAAGTGCCCGAAGCTAAGTCCAACTGAGCCCCACAGTTTTTCAAAAAGTCCATTCCCAGTATACAGGGGTCCTGTACCGCTGCTACCCACTCCGGACACCCCACAGTTCTCCCCCCCACAGTCACAGACAACCGACACTTCCCTAACATGGGGGCTAGCTCCCCCGTGACAGTCCGTAGCTGGACAAGGGTCGGCTCCACCCGCACCCCAACAGGTAGTATGTCTGGTCTCACCAGGGTTACTGTAGAGCCCGTGTCGACCAGGGCCAAACATTCCACCCCCTCTACCTTGATGATGACATTGCAGAAGTCCCCAATGGTGGTACGTCCCACCACAACTACCGGACTAGGAAACACGGTGGCAGCTACACCCTGGGGAAGCAGGTCCCCACCCTCTTGCCTGCGCTGCTGGGTACCTCTTCTGCTTACTGTGGGTTCGGGGTGGGGGGGTGGACCTGCGCTGCCCCCTGCACGAGAACCCGCTGTCATTTCCCTGGTGACGGGAGAATCTGCCACACTCCCGCTGAATGTGGCCAGGCTGGCCACAACCCCAGCAGACAATGGGAGTTGAGCTGACACTGCAATGTTGTCTGGAGCCCCTCTCAATGACAAGCGAAGCGGTCTTGACTAACCCGCCCAACTCGTCGACCCACTCTGGTTTGGTGATCCCCGGCACCCCGGCCGCCGCTGCTCTCACCTCTGGTTGACTGGCAACCTCCACTCTCACTCCCTCACCCCAGATCAGCTCCCTCTTCCTGGCTATCTCCACTGCAGCCCGCAGAGATGCTGGGTCCGACATCTGAACATGCTTACCCAGTTCGGTGGGGGAGAGCACTCTAATAAAACTGTCCCGTGCCAGCTCGTCTTGCACCCCAATCGGCATAGTTGCATAAGCCCGCCTGGTCAGGCTCAGAACACCACTTGCCAACGCCTTTAATGATTCCCCCTGAAGTCTATTTTTGTTACTCAGTTCAATCCGCAGCATGTTGGGCTGTGCATCGCTGCCGAAACGGCCCCCCAATGCCTCCACTAGCGCACCGTAGTCGCCCCTCTCGTCCGGGGCTAGCGTTAGCAGGCATTCCGACGCTTCCTCTGCCAGGCTCAGGGCAAGCTGTAACCCTTTCGTCTCGTCAGACCACCTCCCGGCTCTAGCCAACAACTCGAATTGAGTGAAAAAAACGTCCCATTTACCTTGTCCATTGAACTTTGGAAGTTTAGCCGCTACCGTGGCTAATGGCAATAGGGCGCTGCCATCTCTGGTTACATAAGGAGGCCCAGCCATTTCCGCACGCGGTGACGTCGATATCTCCGTCGCTGTGACGTCTGTTCTGGTCGAGCGGTATGAAGGAAAACCCGCCCGTTCTGCCATCTTGCTGACTGACAATTTAACTTCCGCCATGTGGCTCTCCAGCTCTTCTACAGCCGTCGTCGCCTGACCCTCCCGACCGGGTACACCCGAGCCCACAACAGACACTTCGTCCGACTCTTCCTTAATTTTCCGCCTCGCCCCGATCATCATGACCGTAGATGCGAGTCACGCTAAAGCTAACCACGGCCTATACTGAAACAGCTAACTCGCCTAATCTCGATCTATCCCGTTGTTCGAAAGCACTTCTGACACCAATGTAATGACCCAGCTGGGTCAAAAAGTAAAAGAGAGACGGGCACCAGGTGTACAGGCAGAACACAGGTTTATTCCTGAATGGGCTATTGTTCAGGCCACAGCCCACGTCGCTAAACCTCGAACGTACACAAATATAACATGTCAAGTTAAGGGTCCCGAACAGAAGAGAGAGAGATGAGACCGTAACCCCTATTTAAGCATTCCAAAACCCCGCAGGATTACCCATCACACCCCCCCAACCTTTCCATCTGTCCATATTTAACCCCTGCTAGCACCCATGAGAACGATAACACACCCACGAACACAGAACACAATACCGGGTCGTTACAATACTATAAAATAATATAAAATAATGCCACGGAATTCTAAGCAAATCTTGTCTGCTAAATGAACTAGTGTAGCCCACAGCCACATGGCATAGCCAGATCAGGACCTAACATAAGGACAACTCAGAATATGTTATTCTGTTCTTCTGAAATAGACTACATTTTCTTCATATCATCTTTCATTAGACCTGTCTATAATAAATAATGGATTTATTGTGATGGTGTAAGCTACATTACATGGATTTATTAGACTTAAAATGTAGATGTTCCAAAGGTCTGCATCAGTGGCTTGTAGGCTGTGTGTGGAAGCCAGGAGATGCTAAATGTGTTTATGTTAAGCATACGGTTCCTTGCGGCGGGGGACGGAAGAGGCCGTGTGAATGAGGAAAAACCAACAGAACAGAAAATAATACGTCGGTACAGACCATATCGTGGAAAAATGGGGGGTGGGGATGCGGACGTGGCTCCGTGTTAACCTAGGAGGTCCCGTCCGGTTGAACCTAGAGATAGATAAGACCGTGGATATAGGCCTGACTTGAATAGCTATCTCAAGGCTGATTAGCCGAACGAACAAAACCTGCCATTTGGTGTGCGAGGCTAGCTTGTTGCGATGGATCCGGAAAGTTAAAAGTCCGTTGATTCAGTGATCCGCAGGAAAAAACGAGTATGTATCTGGTCGGATAACTGCTAACTGTGCGACCTGTGGCCGAAACATGAAGCCGAAAATAGTCCAGGGGCTAAGAGTCTGGGTGTCGGGGCCCTGGTGAATATGAAAAAGGGGGGGAGGGGAGGGGGGGGGGGGGGGGAAAAAGAGTGACTGGGGGGCGAGGGTCACTGGACAATATGGTGACAAAACGCTAACAAGGTGTGCTAATCGCAAGTAAACTAGGTTTAGCTGGGTCCTCCCGTTCCGGAAATAGGGGGACAGGGCTGGATTTAGATAGCCATAGGATATGGGCCGGGGGTGGCTCGAGGGGCTCAGCGTCAGGCTAACGTGGTGCTTGCGTGGGCGGGGGGGGCGAATGGGGGATGATTATGCCACAGCAAGACATCACCATTCGGGTGTTGCTAGGCTGGAGTTGCAATGCGAGTGTTAATATCGGCAGGTGTGATTCAGAATTATAAAAAAGTCCGTCAGAAAACGGGTCGGCTATGTTCTGTTACTAAAAGAGGAGCCCAAACGTGGGAAAAGAATTACTTTACCCATACACTAATAAAGAAACACTAAGTCATGTCCTCAAAAAAACAATGACACCACCACACACACAAAACGAGAAGGGCAAAAAGGAAAAAAAGGAGAAGAGAGGACGGCAGGCAGCACAGCGAGGAAACACAAGGGAAAAAGCACACCCGAGAAGGGGGAAAGGAAACCAAAACACACAGCAGACAGGGCAAACCGACACAGGGGGCAGGCACACAGCAAGGGGGGAAAAACAACAAACACAAAAAACAACAACACACAAGAACCCCACCGAAGGGCAAACAGTCTTTGATCCTGCACTTCCACGACACACACACGCCACACACACACACCACACACGACAACCCAAGATCTTTCGCCACTGGTAAACACAAAGGGCACGACACGAGGGGGAGAAAAAGCACAAGGGGACCATCAAACACAAGCACACACACGCAGCGAAAAAAAGGCCACACCGGTCTGTCCCATCGTGACGACACACAGGCAACACACACACACAGCACGCAACGCAGCACACAGGGGGGGGACAATTCTTTCCTCTCTGTGAGCACGGGGGCGAGGCACGTCTGTCATGTCACACGATAGCTAAAAAGAGGAGAATAGGAATTAAATGCATAACCTTTCGAGTGAGTTAACTCATACAAACCACACACCATAGGGGGGGGCACCACCATACACCAAACAACCATAGACCCACACCATAGAGATAAAAACACAAACACAAGGGGGGGGGGACCAATACACCACAACACACTTATAGCTCGTTGCGAGAACTGGGGCATGAATCTTAACCCTACCCATGGGGGCCCCTGATTTCCCCCCTCCCTAGCCAAGTCCCATGATATTCAGTGCCCCTCCCTCCCTAGCCCATGAAGCCATTATATTTCACATGCCCCTCCCTAAACCCACTGAAGCACCATTATATGTCAGCCCTCCTACCAGTAAGGCCCATGATATTAAGCAAAGAGCCCCTCCCTCCCTACCCATGTCGGGGAGCATGATATTCATGACGCACATCCCTACCCATGCCCATGATATTCAGGCCCCTCCCTCCCTACCCATAAAAAAAAACCCCAAAATGATAACAATAATTCAAGGCCCTCCTACCCATAGCCCAAAGAATCTCAAAAGAGGGGCCCCTCCCGGGTCCCTACACCATGGCGCCATGGATAGTGATGCATAAAAGTCAGCCTCCATGCCCATGATATTCATGCCCTCCTCCCTAACCATGCCATGATATTCAGGAACCCTCCCTCCCTACCCATAAAAAGGGAAAAGGCCCATAGTATATTGTCGAGAAAAAAAAGAGCAGCCAATCCCAACCACATAAATGCGCCGTCTGATGGATTCAGCAGACCTCCCTCCCTGAGGGAGGAAACCCAGTGGGGAAAGGAATGGAAAGCCCAGGTAGATATTCAGGCCCGCTGGGTGCCCTCACCGTAGCCGCCTGCCCATGAATATTCAGCCCCTTCCTCACTACCCATGGGGGGGGGAGGGGCCAGCATATCTTCAAGGCCGGGGCGGCTCCCTCCCGGAATACGGCATGGGCCCATGGAATGAGTTCAGGCCCTGAATCGCTCCCTACCCATGGCCCATGATAGTAATAACAGTAAGCCACCATCCCTACCCATGGAAGGCCCATATAATATCAGAATCAAGGCGCCGCAAATCACAACCGTCCCTACCCATGAACCCTGAAGTATTCAGGGTCAAGGCCCCTCCATCCGTATCCAAGGATACCATGAATTACAGAAGGCCCCCTCCCTACCCGAGAAAGGGGAATCGCCGTGATTGGCGAGGGACCCGCGTCCTCCCTACCCGATGTCAACCAGTGATAGTTCAGAGCCCAAAACTCCCTCCCTAGCCTAATTTCTCCGGATTACATAAATTCAGGAGGCCCCATCCCGATCCTATGGCGGGGCATGCCAACAATGGACAAATATTCAATAAGGCCCCCTCCCTCCTACCCGATGGCCATGATATTCAAGTGGGGGCCCCTCCGCTACCACAATGGGGCCCCTTGATAGTTAACAGCCCCTCCCTCCTACCGCATGGGGAGCCATAATATTGCAGGCCCTCCCGGAAGGTACCCTATCCAATTGAAGTAGGGCCCATGATATGTCATCCCGGCTCGCCTCCCTAGGTAGGCCGCATCAAGGGCCGCAAAATATATATTCAAGGTCACGCCTCCGTCCCTACCCATGCCCATGATATTGCATGCCCCTCCATCCCAATAGCCAATAGTCCCATGATATTCACGGGCCGCCATCCCAATCCCGTAGGCCCCATAGCCCAGATATTCAGCCCTCCCCTACCCATGCCCAGCTATTCAGGGCCCTCGCTAACGGCCAAAGAAGGCCCGATGATCTTCAGGCCCCTCCCATCCCTACCCTGCACCGATGTAGGTATGTCAGGGTCTCCTACAACACTACCGGCATGGGCCCAGATATTCAGGGGCCCCTCCAACGTCCACTAACCCAATGAAACCCATAGATATTGTCAGCCCCTACCCCTGGAAATCCCATGATATTCAAAAAACGCCCCTCCCGTCCTGGAAGGCCCATGGGAAAAAAGAAGAAGCCCAATAGAATAATAATACAGGGGGGGAAAAGGGGAACTCCTATGCGCCGACCACCTAAAAAGCCCATGATATTGGGGCAGGCCCTACCCCTCCCATAACCACCCATAGGCCCGATGATAAATTCATGCCCTTCCTCCCGTACCCATGCCCATGATATTCAGAAAAGCCCTCGCTCCCTAACCGCAATGCCAGTGAATTCATGGGGCCCGCTTCCTCGCGCCTACGCATGGGGAAGCCATGGATATTCAGGCCCCATCCCTGCCCTAACCACATAAGCCCATGATAGTTCAAAGGGAAAAGCCCCTCCCACCCGCTAAGTCCCGCATGATATTGCAAGAGGCCCTCCCTCCTACCCAACATGGGGCCCATGTAGGTGTGGCATAGGGAAAAAGCCCCGGTGCCCCCCGCTCCTAATCCCATGATATTTCAGAAAAAGGCCCCGTCCCTCCTATCAACTTCCCATATATTAGAAGCCCTCCCTCCCTACCCATAAAAAACCCATGATATTCAGGGGGGGAGCAAAAAAAAAAACCCTCCCTACCCATAGGGGCCCAGTGATATTCAGGGGGGGGCCCCTCGGGGCCGGGGTCCGACGGCGGGGGGGGCAGTGGGGGGGGGGGGGGGGTGGGGGGGCCCGGGGATGATGATTCATTGCCCCTCCCTCCCTACCGCAGTGCCCAGGTGGGTATATGTCATGGGCGGCCCTCCCTCCCTACCGGCATGCCCATTATATTCATGTCCCCTTCCTTCCTCCCTAAGCCGCTGCCCATGGGGATATTCAGGGCCGCCTCCGCCTCCCTAGGGACCCATGCCCATGGGGGGGTGGGGGGATGTGGGGAGGAGATATTCAGGCCCCTCAAACAAACCTCCCCCTACCCATGGGGGAAGGGGGGGAAAAAAAAAATCCCTTAAAATATGCAGGCCGACCTCCCGTCCCTATCCAATAAACGGCTGCCCATAGCTATAATGGGATCAGGGACGCCAGGCCCAACTGCCCTCCCTAAAACCCATGCCCTAGTGATGATTCCAAAAAAAGAAGAAGTGCAGGCCCTCCCTACAACGGGCATAAAGGCCTGATATTCAGGAAGCCCCTCCTCCCATCCCTACCCATGCCCATGATATTCAGGGGAGGACCCCGGAAGCCAACTCCCTATCATTGCCCATGATATTCAACCCCTCCCTGCGCGCAAACAAATAGGGTCCCATAGAGGTAGGGGTGGATCAGAAGGAAAGGGCCGCGGGTCCGCGGGAAAATCCCGTACGGCACCATGAAAAAGCCCATTATATGACAGGGCCCCAAATCGGCCTCCCTGACCGATATGCCCCTGGATATTCACCCCCTCCCTCCCTATCCATAAAGCCCATAAGATAAATTCAGGGCCCCAGGGAAAAAAAAGGGGGGGGAAAAAGGAGGAGGGGGGGGGGGGGGAGGGAAAAAAGGGGGGGGGGTGAGAAGGTGCCCGTAAGCCCGTACCCATAGAGGGGGAAAAGCCCATGATTTCAAGAGGGACAGATTACGGAGGCCCCTCCCGAATAGGGAGAAAAGGAACCCATGGGGGCCCAGGGGATATTGCAGGGCCCCTCGACGCTAAACAACCTACCCGGTTCCCGCTGATAGTTCATAAAAAGCCCCGCCCTCCCTATCCATGGGGGCCATAGGGGTATAAAATCAGTGCCCTCAATCCCTCGGCAAACCTAAACCCGGGATAAGCCCATTAGTATATCAGGCCCCTAAAACCCTCCCTACACACGCATCAACCAATGAATATTCAAAAAAAAGCCCCGGTCCCTCCCACCTATGCAACAACAATTAATGCTTCAAAAATCAGGCCGCCTCCGGTCCGACTACGCCTGGTGCCGCAAAAATGATATTAAGGGGGGAGCCCCTACCCAAAAAACCCTACATGCCCATAGTAGTGGTCGAATGGGGCCCCTCCTCCCTATCCATGCCGCATGGATATTCAGGGAAAACCCCTACTCCATCCTAACCATGTCCCCGATATATTGCCAGGGCCCACCTCCCACAAACGTAAAACACCCAGTGGAGACCCATGATCTTCAGGCCCCTCCGCTCCCACACTATTGGAAAAAAACCATATATATATCAAACAAAGGCCCCTCCCTCCCGTACGGGTCCAGGGTAAAAAAATAACCATGAATTCAAAGGGGAAGCCACCAAAACAACCTCCCTAACCATGGCCCATAATAATGGATTCCATGCCCCTCCCCACTACCGTATGGCCGGCGGTGGAAATATTCAGGCGAAACGCCGTCCCTCCCTATCAACATGCCCACTGTATATTCAGCCAAGAACCTCGGACCTCCGCTAACCAACATGGGCCGGACATGATAACTTCAGAAAGCCCGGCTATCGCATAGCCCTCCCCATGCCCAAATAAAAAGATATTCAATGCGCCCATCCCTCCCTACCCAATGCCCAAATTAATCAATTAAAACCTAAAAAGGCCCCAATGCCCTGGCCGCCATTACCTATTGCCCATGATAGTTCCGATGGGGCCCTACACCGGTGCCAACTCCCTACCCTGCCCATGTGATTCAGCGCCTTCCCTACACCCATGCCTGATTGGTTGTGTCAAATTTAAGACAACAAAATGTTTGAGGAATATGTCGTGAAGCAGTAGGTCGAAAGGCAGGAGGAAGGGCCGAATGGACATCAATTCATGAAATCAAGATCGAAACAAAAAAAAAGAAAAAGGGGGTCGGCTTTGTGAACGGCGGGGAGGAGTGGAGGGAATGAGCATGCGTTTGTGTGTTTTAGGAAAAGTTAAATTAAAAAGGGGCAAGTCTCGTGAAAGGAGTGGTTGGTAAATAGCTATATTTAAAAGCTACCTGCTTGCGTTTGATGCCCGTTAAAAAGACGTGGTGGGTGGAGCAGGTCGGAAAAAGGAAGTTGCTGGGAACAAGGACTACTCTCTGTCCGGTCGTGAACGTGGTTGCATCAAACATTAGTGCGGGTGGGAACAAAAAAAAAAAAGGCTACTCTCTGTGCCCTTAATAAAAGACGTGGTTTGGGCCCGGGGCACAAATGCAGTTGCTGGTAACGAGCTGAACTTCTCTTTCCAGGTGTAAAATCCTTCCGACGGGCAAAAGGAAAGGCTTTATAGTATTATGGAAGCTGCTATGGCGTAGCAGCTGGGGAGCGCTAAAGTTGTTACGGTGTTATCTGCTGCTAGTCAATCTGATTGGTTAATATCCCTTGAGGGGTTTTGGGGAATGCTGTCGCAGATGAGGGTCAGGGGGCACGGGGTGAGAGAGAGGGCAAAATTAATTGTAACATTGTTCTCCCAGGGTCACCTCGATGATCAAAGAAAATGGAGCTCAGCTTTCAAAGGCGTTAGCTATGATGCAATATTAGTGGAAAAATAGCCGCCGGGAAAAACAATGGTGTTTAACAAAATTTAACAACATGATTTAGTACATTTAGACAACGCTCTTATCGGGGCAGAGCGAGGGCATGAAGGCAGTAGTGATGCAGGATACGATATATATTCATACTGGCCTCGCAGGGAACCCCATGAAGACCATAACCAAAACGAGCCCGTGCCCTTAAAACGCGATTGAGACGTGGTTTGTTTTAAACAGGAGGTTTTTGGGTTCTGGGCGCGGGCAGATAGGTCGACTGAATTACTTCCCCAATGTTAGGGATTACCGGAGATCAGGTGGGTTACATAATGTGTGCTTGTAGACAAGGTAAATCGGTGAGTCAGATGCTGGCAGGTAGCATGGGGTTCTGTCATTGCTACTGCTGGAGCCTACGAGAGTAGGAAAGATATAATTTATGGGGCGGGGTCGGTGCCCATAACCAAAGAAAAACCGACGGTCTCGTAAAAAAACTGCTCCTGAGAAGCAGGCTTTAGAAATGGGAAGTAAAAAACTGTTTGATGTCTGTGATGTGGCCCTTTGAAATGTCCTCCGGCCATATGTAACCTGCATGGGAGAATATAGGGATTAAATCTTCTGGCTTTGTTTAAAATTTCTGAATTGTATCTCTCTCTTTCATACTGTTTCCATCTTGCCCCAGCCATCTTGTCTCAAAGAGGACCACACTGGAAATAATTCCCAGCTTTACTCTGTGTTATCCTCAATGTTGTACTATTTGCATGTACAGTGGGAAAAACATTCTAATGTAGTCAGACCACCATTGTGCAAGTTCTCCTCCCACTTAAAGAAAGATGATAGATATCCGAAAAAATATAATTTTATCATAGGGTGTACAGGCGTCAACATGGGTGACTCGTGACAAATAGTGTATAATTGTTTTCTCCATACAAAGGATCACAGGGGGGGGGAATTGTAGAAAAAAGGATTATTAAATTTATGATTTATTTGAAATTATTAGTGGAGAAAGTAAGTATTTGGGAATCACCTACAAACAATCCGGGAGTTTCTGGCTCTACAAACAGAAAACCGTAGGACTAAATCTTCGTTTAAGCTGGATCGCTCTGCCAGCCAACTCGTTACCGGGGGGGTGTATTAAGTGTGACACCTGTGTGACTAAAAATAGTTCTCAACAAGGTCTTAAGGGGAAAAAAGGAAATAAAAACAACACTGTCCACAAACGCTCAAACAGGGTCACAACTCACAACGGGAAAAAAATCGCAGGCTAAAAATGATCTACCAGACTGCAAAAAAAGGAGCTGGTGCAAAGGGACACGCGGAGAGACGAAAACAGATTAAAAGGTAGCAACCTGCGCCGGAAGATCTGTGTAAAAAAAAGGAGCTGATCCTGCACAGTAAAGGGTTAGAAAAAAAGAAAAAAAGGGAAAAACAATGGGCTTGTTGTTTGGGGGGAATAGAAAGAAAAAATGCAAGCTGGTGGAATCAAGTTAGGATTCAGGGAACATGGGTGAAGACGCAAAAAGATACAATGAAAA